CTCTCAGTAGGCTGCTCTAGTGCTGCTGCATCGCGCAATGCCCGCTACTTTCTGTAGTTTGAGCACTCTGGCGCTAGAGCGACGAGCTATCTTAATGTCTGTGGTGCCTCCTTTGCACCATGGCTGGTAGCTCGGCCTATTTAGCTCGTAGCTGTACTGATGAGGCCTTTATGACCGAAACAGCTTGCTGTCTACAGCATTGGGTACATACATACATACATCTTGATCTTGATCCTGCTGCCAAGTCTGGCTATGCAGTCCCCGAAGGGACAGGTCAAATGGCACTAGTCACCCTGCCGCATCGGTGGCGTGTCCGGCCGCTAGTCGAGCGGAAGGTCCGGTGACATACACACATACATACATACATACATACATACATACATACATACATACATACATACAGGGACTGATTTAACCGGTATCGCATCGCAGTTTGCGACGCAAAACACAGTGTCTGCGATTCGAAGTTCGTAGTGAGTCGCGGTAAACTGCGACACAACATACATGTTAGCTAAGTATGGCCCTGGACATAGACTTGTAGTGCACGCGTAGCGCATGCACATGTGTAGCTTTACAGTGTGTGTGGCTGGTCTGGCGCCACGAGATGGCGCGCCATGCACTGTGAGTGTGACTAGATTAGACTGTGTGTGTGTGTGGTTGTCCAGCCTGCACTGCAGCACTGCAGGTAGATTTTACACCATACGCACGCGCGGGTCGCGGGACCATGGCCATATGTCACACTATCTCCGCACGCGCACCGCAGCACGTGCACTTGGAGTTGGAAACTAACTACTTACTTGAAGTGCAGCCCAGGAAGCAGGAGGCGAGTGTCGACAAGTACTTCACCTGCTTTTGAGATTTAGACCGCTTTGCTTCACTAGCAGTAGGCGTCTCGACCGTTCAGGACTTATCTTTGTAAAATTCTGCTAGCCTTATTGATGAAGCCTCTTCACTGCCGGCATGTCTGTGAAGCAAGGTACTGTGGACAAGTGGATTGTTGAATTTGATCCCAAAAAGAATGGATTCGCGCAGAGTCGAGTGGTGGAGCTGTGACCAAGATATTTTGCAAGATGTGCAAGGAGAAGGCGTCCTCGCTTCGTGGTTTGAGGAATTACAGCACGGCGTTTGTTGACAGTATAAGTGGAAGTGCACTGAAGACTGCATTGTCGACGGAAAAAAACTGCTATGCAAAATTGTTGCGTTGCTATGCAAACGTCGAGGTGTGTAGCAATTATTGCTATGCAATTTTTTTGAAGTAAATTAGTCCCTGACATACATACATACATGTACATACATACATACATACATACATACATGTCCATGCTACGCGCTACGCGCTATGATCCAAGCTTGCAGCCTATCTCAATCATATCTTCTGAAAATTGTAGTCAAGTTGCTGTCTGATGATCGGTTAAAACCGTGAAACTCAGAGTTACAGCAGAAACGCTTTTGATTCCTCTCAAGTGTATGTACATGTACATATAATTATACGCACAGTTTTGCCCTGGTTGCGATATTTTAATTAATGATGGTACGTGTATATGTACACACACAGGTACATGTGATTGCGTAACATTGTGTAATATGTGACTTTTTAAATACATCGTTATTTCATCAATGACGCCACCATAAAAGTGGAAAATACCATGGAAATTATGGAGAAAAAAATTACATATCCCGAAAAATTGAGGCAAATCCCGGGATTTTGTATTGAGGATCCCGAAAAGTTTGACACAGACACAGACACAGACACACACACAGACACACACACACACATACACACAAACACACAGACAGACAGACAGACAGACACACACACACACACAAACACACACAGACAGACAGACACACACACACAAACACACACACGCACACTAACCTGTCTTAACATGGAACGCTGATGTTCCCTCGGCACAATTGAGGACATGAGTTACACCAGCTGACTGCAGCCTCACCTTGTTGAGCGCAATCGACCTGCACGGCACAACCACATTGGATAACCACATTGGTACCACCAGCAGCACCAGTACCATCACCACCCCCACCCCCACAACCACCTGTCACATCCTTTATTGCTGAGCCCACAAATAATTGTGATACAGATTGTAAACCATTCGAGGTAAAAGAGGAAGCCATTAATAAAAAAATAAATAAAAAAGAAGAAAACGTTATTGTACCATGCCAGACGGCTATTATTAAGTCATGTACCAATTGTAGTACATGACGTAGTAGTCACGCACCTACAAAATACTTTGCAGGATAGTATTTAAATTGCCTAGCATGCCTACTAATCCGCAGAGCATGCCAATATTAAATAGGCCACCAACATATGAATAACGAAGACGGTTACATGGACAAAAGGCGACAACGGTCGAGAAAAGATGGGCCTATTCTCTTCCGCAAGTAAGACGCTCCGCAACCCCGGAGGCACGTGCTTGACCACCTCAACGTTCAGTGTGACAGTGTATACAGGCAGCAGCAGCAGTACAGGCCGAACATTTAACGGGGCGAAAATTTGTGTAGACTTGCAGTACAGTCAACTTTGCGTATAACGACACATGACATGGTGGGGCATCAGAAAAGTGTCCTTATTCGCGGAGTGTCCTTTTTATTATTATTACATGTATTACACCTTCAAGTGGCTAAAGATGAATCAGTGCCAATATAGATGAGGAGGGGACGTTTGCCAGCCATGGCGTAGAGGGAAAGTATAAGAAGTGTGGTGGTGCACCAATACCATGGTAAGTAACAGAGGAAAGGGAGCAGTACAGCCGACATGAGACGACCGAGACTAAACAGGTAAACTGACTATTGAAGTCTCATTATACTCAATCTGCGGACAGCATGCTGTTTCGTTCTTTGCGAACTCATCAGCGCAGCACAGAGGAAATGAGGCCGAACCTGATAGCAGTGGAAATAAAAATTTCCAATCACGTCTCATTATATGTATTTCAGTTAGATGGGACTTAGCTCTGGGCATGGAAATTCTGTCGTTATTCGCAAATCGTCGTTATATCCGCAGTCGTTATTAGCGAAGTCGACTGTACATGCTAAGCGCTGCACGTGCGAACCATACCGGTACTTATTTCGGGCAGTATGTTTATCGGGCTGAACTCGACTCCAACAGACGGAGTCAAAAGGATGAAGCAGGTTGTTATTTCGGGCATGTACCGTAAAGTACCCTTGATCCGCCCCCCCCCCCCCCCCCACCCCCACGCCATGTCGCTTCCCAGCTGCGTTTTTCAGCAGGGGGCGGGAATTAGATCAAGGCTGTCAAGTGCAGTACGATGTACAACAACGTAGAGGATCAGACTCGATGTACTGGATTGTGCACATTTTCATCCTGGATTGGCACGTATTGTGTACAGCAGTGCAAGCGTCGGTTCAACATCGTATTTAGTTGCATACGCCGAAATCGCTTCACAGGTACAAAATCGACAGGGGGCGGGAATTAGAGGGGGGCGGATCAACAGTACTTTACGGCACTTATTTACGGACATTTTACGGCAGGCTGAACCCCCTTCCATTCGGATGGACTTGGTTCCTTTTCAACATGCTGCATTATGTCATTCGACAGTTATGTGTGTGGTTTCAGACACCGTTTTAGGCTGTGTTTACATGAGAAATTTCAACCCGGGTCGAGTTCAGCCCGGGTTGAAAGTCTATACGATAGACAAAATAGGTGAGCGTTTACATGAAGACAGTTGACCCGGGTCAAATACTGATATGCCGCCAAAAGTCCACTTCTAGAGTCCTGTATGGTCACGTGAATCCGTTCGCGCGAAATTGCAGTGCTGTTCAAACCTGGCGCGAGTTACGCACAGAAGTACGTTTGTACGATTTTCTTGACCCGGGTTGATTTCAACCCTCCCCTTGGGGGGAGAGTTGAAATCAACCCGGGGAATGAAATTTCAACCCGGGTCAAGCGCAATGCGTCATGTAAACGCGCCATTCATTTCGTGTACATGGCGGGTTGAAATCTGACTCGGGTCGAACTCAACCCGGGTTGAAACGCCTCATGTAAACACAGCCTCGCTCATCAGATGCTATGTACTTCCAAAGTATACGCACTGTAAATCAACAAATATTCGGCGCATATTTATTTTCGGCCTGGTCATATTTGGCCGAAAATCTGTTATCGCCGAAAGTTTGTTTTGCAAGGTTCAGTGGATACAGGCAGCAACAGAACAGGCCGACAATTTAATGCGGCCGAAATGTGTTTTAGCCCTTCGCACGCGTGTGTGTGTATATTTTATATGCACGTGCACATACGTCTGCGCCTGTACTATGTGTGTGCACGTATGCACGCGTGCGCGTACGCACAAGCTTTAATAGCCACTGCACTGGCACGAACTGTTTCCCCATCTTTCTGCAGAAAACTTACGCTTCTCCTATGAGGATTCCAGGGTGCACTTCATCGTACGCTCTGCCGGGCATCATAACAAAGCCTCCCTCGCTACTCATCAAATCTTGAAGCTCCTCAACGCTGGGTGGATCAGCTGGCGTAGCCATGGCTTAACCGGTTCAGGAGAGTCAGCGTGGTCACCCGCTTCTGCTCAAGAGCTTATGCTGTCTGTATATTAGAGAAATTTATTCTCGAAGTATCTGGGGATGTTTGGTGAATCACACTGGCCGGATGGAGAGGATGCAGTAGCTTTGTACCAGCGCCAGAACGAACGTAGGATTGTCTTCACTCACGTGGCAACAAGACTACAGTCATATTAGTTTTGATAAACTGCTTATTATGCTCCTTTCGTCAATGTCACAATGATCGGTTCCGGTGCTATTTCAAAGCAGAAAGCAGAAATATCAGGTTTGAAGATTTGAATGCCAGTGCATGTCTTGTCGACGACTTGTGTCATGTTTATGACTCATTTTAGCAGTTTCAGTGACTCATATTCTGCGATACTAGTAGTATTCGTGTCACGTGTTACAATCTCAGGACTTCCAGAGTTGGACTTCGAGACCGAGTTCGAGTGCGTCGATCTACGGAACAGCCAACTGCTGAGTGCTAGATGACTTCGAGTTCGACTCAGAGTGCGTGTTTTCGCTGGCCGTTCTTCGTGAACGACTCGAGACGAGAGTTACGGAGACCACCTTGCTGAACTCTGACTGCCTGAGCAAGCAAGCGGAGAGCAAGTCCGGACCTAGAACTGGTGGAAGGTAATTTATTTTTCTCATCAAGTAATTAGTCACCGCGAGCCAGCCCGCTGTACTGGCGGTACGCTGCTTCACAAACCACGATGATACGTCGTTGTAGGCTGTAGCCGCAAGAATGCCATGATTGCTGCAGTGATGGATTTTATTATTATTAGATCGTCTCACACTCACAGACTCAGCTGACGGTTGAGTTGATCGACTGTTGGGTGTTGTGCGCACGAGTCGGTGCATTCAGACGTTCCACAACAAGGGCCGCTACGGCCTAGTAGTATGGGTATTGCAGGTGCCCCCCCCCCCCCCCCACACACACACACACACACGCTAGCCGTCGGTAGATGATGCTGGAAAAATAATTGGCAGATTCTGCACGAAAGGCAGTGAAATTGGCAGAACCGCACAAACCTTGAATTCTGCTCCATTTCTTTATCCACGGACAGTGTCCCAAGCATGCACGAAGCATACCAGAGAGAGTACCATTTTCTGCAACTTTGTCTGCCAGAATTATCCGCCAAGGGCTACCGCACACAAGCGCCAATCACTGGTAGTCAAACTCTAGCCTAGGCTTGCTATCATCGCAGCCATCACGATAATAATTATGATAATAATAATTATGCATGAAGTTGATTCACGTGGCTCCAACAAGGAGCACATGCTTCTTGCCGAACTTGACACTTGGCTGACTCACGACTACCATCCGGAGCACACGAGGATCAAGTCGCACCTCTCAATATTTATGCCTTCGCTGTTTGCATTACGCAGAGCTGACTGACTTGTCAGTTTGACTCACTCTGGCAAGGATTAGGTACGTCCATGCGGGCCTCGTTTAAATCTGGCGTTGGCGTTTTTTCATTCACGGCTACCAGGCCCGGCTGGCCTCATTTTCTCTGCGCTGCGCTGGTGAGTCCACAAAGGACGAAGCAGTTCTGTCCGCAGATTGAGTAGCCATCATAATATGAATATCATGTAGCGATTATGCATTGCACATCGCTCATTCCTACCACACACCTAACTGCAGGTCTCTTTGTGGTCAATGAACTCAGGTTTTGATTGGTCCGGGCATACCCTAGCCTTTCATACAGTTTGTGTATGATAGTGGGTACATATACACATGACCTCCTCGGCAGTAAACACACGTTGGTGACCTAAAAGTTGGTCCGGCCATGGCCTGACCAACCGGACCGGTTCCACTGGGCCTCACATGGCTTATGTATCTGTGCATGCTTGTGTGTGCATATGCAGGCGCGTGCCCCGTATGGGTTCCTGGGTGCCCGGAACCCCCCCGCCCCCCACCTTTTTCGCTCCAAATGCAGGATTTTGCTTCATTTTTTGAAAAATGTCCCCGGGGGACGGCCCCCGGAACCCCCCCCCCCCCCCCCCATTGAAGGGCACTGGTGCACACGCCTGCATATGTGGGGCTGCGCATGGGTGCATCTGCGTCCGCGTGTGAGGTACCAGAGTGTGTGCATGTGCCTGAGATGGTACAGTTGGGCTTGGTGAAATCCGACCCAAAAAGCACATCTGGCGCCCCCAACTTGCACGGCCCTGACACCCTGGAAGTGGTAGGAATGCGGCGGGACGTACAGCCATGGTAACAGATAGAACCGTGTCTAACACCCATTCGGTTCAGATGATCGCAAGACCGGGGCTCTACCAACCGTGGATGGTTGCTGTAAGGTCACTGTGTTCCGAACACAGTGGTCCTCAACCTTGTTACATGCTGTCAACCAACCCCAAGCACAGTCATGTGCAGTTATCGGAATTGATCCACGGCGCCGGCTTTGGGTTGGAGTTCAGTGGGTGCAACTGTACTTGTGTAGGCATCATGTATGTGTTTTACATGTAGATGATTGTAGGTGATTGCGTGTGCGGGCGTGTATTTTGTATTGTACGTGTATTTGTATATGCGTGTGTGCATGTGCGTGTGTGCGCGTGCGTTTGTGCGTGCACGCGAGCAGGCGTGCGTGTGCCGCTTCAGTGAGGATTATCAATGACGTCATTTCGAGCATCGGCCGTCGTGGGCCTGCTGATGCACCTTTGCGCCTTGCAATGCCACCACTGTAACGTGGCCAAGCCACAACATGATGATACGTGGACACGACACGGCACACACAGCAGCCGCACAACTGCAGCAACACCAGCTCCCAGCTGGAGCATCTTGGACCAGGTGAATGTTACCACAATATTGGAGACTGCCACCTCGCCTATGTCCTCCAATACGGGTATAGTCGTTGCTGCAGTCGTGTCACAAGCAATGCCGTCCGCTGGTGGTAATGGCGGTGGCGAGCGACAAGATGCGGCCGTGACGTTTGCACAGCGTCTCGTGATCCTGCCGACGGGTCAGTCCGGGGAGACGGCGGCGAGCTTTGCGAACGTGACGAGTTTCTGTGACACACACGGCGACTGCAGCACGGTCGCCTGGTGTCTGTATCCTGCCAATGGCGACGGCGGTGAGGGGGCAAAGGGGGAGCGCCTTCGCATCACCTTCCTGTCGGCCGGTGGTGGCAAGGTGACGCGCGTGTGGTTCTCCGAGCTAGAGGTAACCACCGCCGCTAGCGCATCATCATCCACACCGATGCCGGTGTGGGCGAACAGTGGATCAGTGTCGGATACGTATGACATCATGTACTACGCGGCTACCGGCGACTGCGCCACGTACGCGTTCACGTACGGCCGCACGCGTCCCACGAGCCCGGTCGCGAGGGAGGTGCGCGAGGACGTGCTCATCGACGTCATCGGCAACGCGCCGACCGTCGTCCAGAACGTCCTGTGCACCGTTGCCGTGCCGATGACGCCTGGCGTCACCGTGGCAACACCGGACTGCCTGACGACCAACGACAGTGTCGGCATGGCGGCCTGGCTGATCTCCTGCTGGTCGCATCCCAGTCAGTTTGCCTTTCAGCCGCTGTCGGCGTCGTCGGCAGCGGGGAGCAAACGCACACTAGCGTTCACGCACACCAAGAACACGCGCGCCAACGACTGGGCTGACCTGGATGAGCCCATGGGCTGGTCACTGCTGGATGTGGGGACAAGGAAAGTAACGCGCGGTGGTTTCTCCATCGATGACGGCCGCCTTCGCTTTCAGCCCACCTGGTCGCATTCCGGTGAGCGACTTGCGTTTGTCACGTTGGCCGAGCCTTCCACTGCCTGGCTGTGGTCCCAAGTTTGGAACATCTGCTTTGCCTCGGCGGATCTGCCGACGATGGCTTACTGCGATACGGTGGGTTCGCCGGACCAGGAGCCGAACCTGATCGGGTTTGTCCTCGACGACGAATACATCTTGTACACAGAGCAGCATAGCACAGCCGTCACACTCAACATGTGGTCGGTGGATGCCAAGACGCACAAGGAGCTGCGCGTCCAGCATGCCACCGAAGCCGACCCGCTCGGGGTGCTCCGTGTGATCAGCGCCGTCAGCTTGCCGTCGGGGTCTCCGCAATCCGCATCGTACATCACACTGGTCGGCGAGGCACTCGACTCCCCGCCGGAGGTGTACTTCGGCGAGTTGGACGCCAAGACCGCGGTCGTCACCGTACGGCCATTGAGCAACTTCAACGCCGCCGCCCGTGCAAAGCCGCTGAACGTGCACACCGACGTGATCGCCTGGCCGTCAGGCAATCTCAGCGTCGAGGCACTCCTCGTCTCGCCTGCCAGCGGCGCGGAGGGGAAACCCCTGGTGGCGTTCGCCCACCCGGGCCCGAATATGGCGCACGCCGAGACGTACCTGGGTTGGGGCGGCGTGGGTGCCCGGTATCCCGTAGCAACGCTGGCCGAAATGGGCTACTCGGTCTTGCTGCCGAATATTCGCGGCTCGGCCGGCTACGGTGCGAAGTTCCGCACTTCCATCTACCGCGACTGGGGAGGAGAGGACCTGGATGATCTTCTATCGGGTGAGTCGGAAACTGGAGTGCGTTTGTTCGTTGTACATGATCAACGGCACTGATAACACAGTGAAACTGGTCTAAGGCGACCGCTCAAGGGGCCTTCAAAATGTGGTCTCTGTTACCAGATGGTCTCCGTATCCACGGTCATTAGACTGGAAATAGCATCCCTTGGTCCTAGTTGCAGTGGTCTTCTAGGACAGGTGGTCACCTGATGCACACGGTTGCCATGACAGGTTGTATTGTATCCACTGCCATCTCTTAGTGTACATGCGGTGTAGTCCACCCAGAACAGGATTCTGGACTTCAAACCGAATTAGTATGGGATAACAAACCCCATTCCAATTTCGCCGGAGATCGATTTTTTGACCAACGCAGCCAATGTTTTGGGAGAGAACGAGCGGGGGAGGGCACAGATGACTGTCCACACCAACGCATACCTGCTGGTCAAAACTGCTGCCGTCATGCAAAGGGATTTGTCCTGAGTTTGTTCCTGTTCTTTAAAGGGGAAGTTAATTAAGCCTAAAATCAAATTTCACCAGTTGTAGTCTTTGGGGTTCTGAGTCGAATGGTCTTGGTCCGAGGAAGCTGAGACGCTCCCTTTCTCCTTTATTCCCAATCGAACTCTCGCACTTCCACCGGAACTGGGTGACTGCGCCCTACTAGATGGGGATTTGTATGCAAAATGTCACTAAAAGCGCAATTTCGTTCTTATAAAAGCCCGGACGACCGCGATTGGCCCACATGTTTTAGTCTTTTGGCCGCTGAGTCGACTGGTTTTGGTGCGAAAAGGCTACGGTGCAGCGTTCGGCCCTCATTCCCAATCGAACATGGTTGAACAAGCGGTCACGTGCTCCTGCGTACACCAGTCGCCTGGTCAACGCACCAGCAGGCGGCAACTTTCACACCAAGGTTCAACTGAAAGGTTCAACTCGAGTGACAGAAACTCGCCCAAACATGCTGTAAGTTGTAGCCTGCAGGCACGGTGACCGGGTGACTGGTATACGCACAAGCACGTGACCGCTTGTTCAGCCATGTTCGATTGGGAATAAGGGCCGAACACTACACCGCAGCCTTTTCGGACCAAAACCAGTCGACTCAGCGTCCAGAAGACTACAACATATGGGCCAATCGCGGTCATCCGGGCTTTTATAAGAACGAAATGGCGCTTTTTTTGCACCAATGACTGTTCGCACCAACACACAACTTCTTGCCCAAGCTCACGGCTTGATTTGTCCCGGATTTGTTCACGGTTCTTCTATACAATCCTGTAGGTCTGGTGGAAGTGCAGGATCTGCGCAATAAACAACCCCCGTTCCAATTCTACCGGAGATTGGTTTTAGACCAATATGGTCACTTTGTGAGGAGGGGCACTGCTGACTGTCCACACCGATACACAACTCTCCTCCTTGTGTCTACGGTTTATTCTGAATTCCTTCATGTTCTTATACACTGGTCTAGTAGAAGTGCTGAGTCTGCGCAATCAACAAACACCATGCCAATTCTTAGACCAACATGGTCACGTTTTTTTTGGGGGGGGGGGGGGGGCACTGCTAACTGTTCACGCCATTACAAAAACTGCTTGCCAAAACTGCTGTCGTCATGCCTACGACTTGTGCTGAACTATAAATTCGTGTTCCTATACAGGTCTAGTGAAAGTGCAGAAAATACGCAACATGTCGTCTAGACAATTTTTGTGAGAGGAAAAAAAAGGGGAGGAGGTGTTCGCATCAATACAATGACAATACGATGACTGTTCGCGCCAACGCACAACTTCGTGCCAAAACTCACGTCTTGATTCGTCCCGGATTTGTTCGTGTTCCCGTACAGGTCTAGTTGAAGTGCATAAGCTTTTCAACACGAGCACGTCCAGCGTTCACGTGTTTGGCTGGAGCTACGGCGGATTCCTGTCGGCCATGGCTCTCACGCACGCCAGCGAGCGCTTCCCCGGCCTGCGCCTGGCCTCGGTCTGCATCGGCGGCGGTATCGTGGACCTGATCAGCCACACGGGCACCGCCGACATCGGCAAGATACTGAGTAACACCTACGGAGGCTACTACTGGGACACGCCGGCAACCGTTGCCGATAGCAACAGTGCTGCTTCGTCCTCGGCGTCTCTAATGCACTTGTACCAGCGGAGCTCTGCCATGTTTAGCATCGTGAATGCCACCGGTAAGTGCGCCGAAACAATGTACAGTGAAACCTGTGTGCTCAAGGGACCTTACAAATTAGCGTGGTTTCATATCCAGGGTCATTGGACTCTAAGTAGCATCCCTTGGTTAATAGGGAGGTTCCGGAGTACGATTTTTCGTGCCAAAATCCGTGGAGGCTCTACGGATTTTTTATACGTCGTTTTCGAGCAGTGAAAAGTTCCGGGGTACGGAACTTATGTGTTTGCCGTCATTGCCTAGGTTACGATCGCAAACACGTCACATTCCCGCGCTATGCCTTTTTATTTTGAAAATTTGTACCGAAATCAAAACTTCCCGCGAAAAATCGATGTTTCTCGTACCAAATTTGTACGCGAAAAATCTTTCTGCACCCGATGACGCCAAATCTCCATACGAAGCATGGTTCGTATGAAAGCCAGTCTACACGGATTCTCGTGCCGAAAAATCGTATGGAGCACGCCTGGAAAAAATCCGTAGCGCCCATACGGATTTTGGCACGGAAAATCGTACCCCGGAACCTCTCTAATGGCTAATGGTTCATGTAAGTAACATGCCTTAGTTAATGCTACCGTAGCGTGCTGCAAAACTGCACAGCGGCGAAACAACTTTACAGTAGGGGTGAAACGGTTCGGGTAAGGAACCGGTTTTGGAACCGCCAGCTGAAAAGAATCGGGTACCCGTTCCGTCAAATTTCGAACCGAAACTCGAAAAATCTCGTTCTTGTACAAATACATGTACACGTCAAGTCCACTCAAGATTTTAAATGTCTTACCTCACGATCCCCACTCTTCCAAAGAGTTCTCTGGTCTATCTTCTTCGCAATTGGACTCTCCGATGTCGACATGTCTCATTCTTGCTCGTAAAAATGTTTTTTTTTTTTTAAATTGTCGCGAACGCATTTTGTAGGTCTGGAGAAAAAAGTGCATGGAACCGATACCCGAACCGTGGGAAACAATGCTGGCATTCGGGTACCCGAACATGAAAAACATGGAACCGTTTCACCCCTACTTTACTGTGAAACCTGTGTAAGCTCACCCGCTCAAGGGGGGGGGGCACCATACTGGTTTCCATATCCAGTTTTTTTTTACTGAAAGTAACATCCCTTGGTCCTAGTCTCAGTGGACCTCTTGTCGCCTTATCAGAGTGATTGCCTTGCCAGGTTTCACTGTGGCATATTCACGCCACCACACCGCAGTGATTGGGCGAGGACAGCGGGGAAGAGAAACGATTGACGGCATCCGGGTATCCGTCCCGGGGTCCCAAGTGCATTTACCCCTGCCCCCAGTCAAGGTAATACAAATGCACGCATGCATGTACACACACACACACACACACACACACACACACACACACACACACACACACACACACACACACACACGCGTGCATGCACGCAGAATGACCTTTTCAGCTTTTTTACTACCAGTGAAGAAAAACGGCCAATGTCGCAACATCTTTATTACTAGTAAAACCTGCTAAAACCGTTGCCTGTTCTCTTCCGTTTTGCCTGCAGCTCCTACACTCCTCCACCATGGAGCGCATGATCCACGCGTGCCGATTCTACAGGCATTCCAGCTACACTACGCGCTGCAGGCCAGAGGCGTGGAGACGCGCATGCTGGTCTATCCGGGTAGCGGTCACATTCCCGGCGACGCCGAGCAGCTTCTGAGCATCTGGAACAGCACGATTGAGTGGATTGTGAGGCACGACACCTCCGACACGTAATTGATCCTTGCCAGGCTGCGTGCCTGCTTGTGTGAAGTCGACCAGGTGAAACTCGACACTTGTAACTACATACAACCAGCCACATGAGAACAATCATGTTGATTTGTGGGATTTTTGGTCATGCCCTTCAATTCTACATGTACATGTATGTTTCTCGTCATATGGATATAATCCTGTGCAAAAAATGGATATAATCCTGTGCAAAAATTGATATAATCCTGTGCAAAAATGGATATAATCCGGTGCAAAAATGGATATAATCCTGTGCAAAAATGGATATAATCCTGTGCAAAAAATGGATATAATCCTGTGCAAAAATGGATATAATCCGGTGCAAAAATGGATATAATCCGGTGCAAAAAATGGATATAATCCGGTACAAAAATGGATATAATCCGGTGCAAAAATGGATATAATCCTGTGCAAAAAACAGTGGAATCAAGATGGATCAAAACATAGAAATTTCTTATAATACAGACATGGACCGGCATACATGATTTCAATGATGACTTTCTAAAATATTATCACCTAGTCACTAGACCTTGCAAGGTAATGCTCGAAAATAGGCAGATTCTTCTCGAAAAGCAGTTGAAAAAACCCCAGAACAATGCAAAGCTTCTGGCGGGCAATTCCTCTAATTCTGCTTTTCTCCCTAATCCCCAATACTAGCATAACAAACCTGCACGAAGCATACTAGGAAAACCAAAATTTTATTCCGCTGGTTTTCGGACGCCTTCATCCGCCAAGAGGTACTTTGCAGGACCAGGGTGGTTTAGTGCAGCTCGAAAGAGTGCCACGTGAGCCCAAGGTGCAGAGTGGCGTCTCTGTCAAATCCTACAATACAGTTGAACATCGATTATCCGACCAACTCTGCCTCTGGGCAGCGGGCTCCGGGGAGGTGTTCGGGTAATGAAAATGTTCCAGATAAGGAAAATCTCACCACAGGCCGATACCTGTGTTCAGTATTATCACAGACTTCACAGTACCCGCAACAACAGTCGTTTTCACGTTAGTTTTGGAAGTTTTGGAAGTTGTTGACTGTCCAGCCTGTGCACAGTGGCACATGCAACAAGTGCGCACTGCTGCAAGTTCTGCTAAGTAGAGGATATAACCCGAGTCAGAGGGTTATACCGGCTGAATATAAATCCCGACTGCGATAGCAGGAGGGATTTATATGAGGGTACGGTATAACCCGACTACGAGGGTCATATCCTACTTATGCCAGGTACCCCTACGCATTTCCAGAACAACGAACCTATTTGGAGATCTCGTACATCATGCGGTACATGAACATCTTCTGATGGTTATCAGTTGTCAGTTGATAGAATGGTCGAGCAAGGTCAGAAGGAGATTCCTCCGTGGATGTTTGGCATAAGATTTCCTTTCAGTTCCAGTGCATATTGTAGCATCTTCATGATCTTGTCTTGAGTCGTGAGCGGTGCGGAAGGCGACTGAATTGCTGCGGTGCTGGAGTTTGTCGTTGAATCAAACTACCGTCACTAGTTAGATTACAGCTTGGACTCTTTGGGAGTAAGTGTTACTATAATTATGGTACAGTGCTGATTTTCACATGCGGCATCTCATAATCAGTTTTGCTTGCAAGTAGATGCATTTGCATACACTGTTTTGTATCACATTTCAATCCAATCTATTGTAGCCTTTTCCAATCGGGTTGAAGTACATGTACACTGGTATTATAAACTTATTTACGAAGGAGACAGTCTGTTGATGATCTTCAACTCTTCGAAGTACAATGTACATTGCTGACCCATTCGGGATACTTCGTGGTTATTCGACGTTCTTTATCCTCAGATTCAGTATAATAGAATACTCTGTAGACGAATTCCAGGTCATTCTTCTTTTCCATTGTGTACTGTTCCTCGTCAGTGTGCCGTTCTGTGTGGAGTGTACACGTGCATGTTGTGTCCGTTGTGTCTGTATGTATGGTCCGTGCGCTGGAGTACTGCCGCCGTACAAGTTCACTGCCTTTCAGGCAGTGAACATGTACGGTGGCAGTGCCCTAGCGTACGTACCGTGCACCGGGATTTATATTCTATATAAATCCCGCGCGGGATTTATATTGGCCAATATAACCATGGCTAGACGAGCGCTGATTGGCTGAAAACAGGCCCTCCGTACCGTACCATGGTATAAGTAGAGGATATAACCCGAGTCAGAGGGTTATACCGGCGGAATATAAATCCCGACTGCGATAGCAGGAGGGATTTATATGAGGGTACGGTATAACCCGACTACGAGGGTCATATCCTACTTATGCCAGGTACCCCTACGCATTTCCAGAACAACGAACCTATTTGGAGATCTCCTACATCATGCAGTACATGAACATCTTCTGATGGTTATCAGTTGTCAATTGAAAGAATGGTCGAGCAAGGTCAGAAGGAGATTCCTCCGTGGATGTTTGGCATAAGATTTCCTTTCAGTTCCAGTGCATATTGTAGCATCTTCATGATCTTGTCTTGAGTCGTGAGCGGTGCGGAAGGCGACTGAATTGCTGCGGTGCTGGAGTTTGTCGTTGAATCAAACTACCGTCACTAGTTAGATTACAGCTTGGACTCTTTGGGAGTAAGTGTTACTATAATTATGGTACAGTGCTGATTTTCACATGCGGCATCTCATAATCAGTTTTGCTTGCAAGTAGATGCATTTGCATACACTGTTTTGTATCACATTTCAATCCAATCTATTGTAGCCTTTTCCAATCGGGTTGAAGTACATGTACACTGGTATTATAACCTTATTTACGAAGGAGACAGTCTGTTGATGATCTTCAACTCTTCGAAGTACAATGTACATTGCTGACCCATTCGGGATACTTCGTGGTTATTCGACGTTCTTTATCCTCAGATTCAGTATAATAGAATACTCTGTAGACGAATTCCAGGTCATTCTTCTTTTCCATTGTGTACTGTTCCTCGTCAGTGTGCCGTTCTGTGTGGAGTGTACACGTGCATGTTGTGTCCGTTGTGTCTGTATGTATGGTCCGTGCGCTGGAGTACTGCCGCCGTACAAGTTCACTGCCTTTCAGGCAGTGAACATGTACGGTGGCAGTGCCCTAGCGTACGTACCGTGCACCGGGATTTATATTCTATATAAATCCCGCGCGGGATTTATATTGGCCAATATAACCATGGCTAGACGAGCGCTGATTGGCTGAAAACAGGCCCTCCGTACCGTACCATGGTATAATAACTTTTCGTGCAAGCTCCGGCACGAAAATGCATACCTTGTCCCTGAGCCACGTGCGGTTCGACAACCCATTCCAGTCGGATAATCGATGTTCAACTGTGTAATGTTTTTTCAATAATCAGGACCATGCTAACCCCCCCCCCCCGATAAGTTGTGCCCACTTGTAATTTGTATTAATATTATTATTGTAAGGTGTCAGGGCAGCATCAGTTGGCTCTCTTCAGAAGATTTCAAGATGGGCAGTATTATAGCTTTGACTTTAATATAGAGGTGTTTTATAGAGGACATTTCAGTGTTTTGACAGCTTCCTAGAATAATTATGATTTTGAGTGTTCATGCATTATCCAGAGTGTTGTAATGGATGCAGATGATGATAGAGCTGGCAGGGAAAGTACTAGTAATAGAAGTGCCCGGTATGCTGAACAAGTAGAAAGATACCATGAATAGAATATTCATGATCTGTGGTTGATTGAGCAGCACTGCCACAGGTTGGCACATCTAAGTTAGTTTGGGGCTACCAGAGAGCAGTCAGTCGGCTTAGACAGGTTCCACTGCACGTGGTCCAGCCTCCAGTGCTTCAAACAATTACACCATTGTCAGCTGTCAAGGAGCAGAGTTCCAGCTAAGATGGCATGCAGCACTCTACTACTGTAAAAGCCATAATAATTATTATAACGAAGTGCTAACTCTAACGAGTTAACGAGGAGAAATCTGTCGTTAAAATAGAAATTGTTATACTGTACAGAAATCGATACATAATTATACTGTCCTATTGTGCGTTGAGAATGAGTGAGAATCGTTACCTTTGGTACACTGAAACTGAGGGCTGAAACGATCATTCATTAACTCCTAACGATCAACCAATATCATTAACGATCGATATATTGGTTTTATCGATTCTTGTCGGCTCTACTCATGTACCTTGAACACCAGTTTACGAAGAAAGTCCAAGATACTCATGCTACTTTGGAATTTTGTGGCACCGCACTGTTGACATCTGTAGACATCTGGCTGGTTTTATCAACATGAACTAGAGAATTTCATGTTGTTTCCAGAGCGAAGAATCTTTTTATCACCCTTTGGAAACTGCTTTCATCTCCGACTTGAAAAAAAAGAACTGAAAAGACAAAGTCTTCTCTCCCGATCTTTTTCAAAACCACTTATCATTTTTTCTGTGCTTGAAAGTACATGATAGCACTCGAATTTTAATATCGGATGGAGTGCATGGGCTAGAACACTGTCACTGATATGCATGCATAAAAATCGTTAGCACTCGCTTGGAACACTAACGATTATCGATTGCACTGTTAACGATCGATATCCGAGTTATCGATATAATTGTTTCAGCCCTAGTTAAACTAGTCAATTTTGGGAAATCGTTATATATGCGCCTCGTTAGAATAATGGCTTTTACAGTAGTCTGTACGCACTGTGCATACAAGAATGGAAAGAAAGTGCCTGAGCCACACACATGCACCTACGAGCCATCCTCACCCCTGCCCTTCACCCCCCCCCCCACACACACACACACATGCACCACCACCCCCCCCCTCCCCCCCCCCCCACACACATATACATGCGCACAAATGAATAAACCACGTCTTGGTGACGTGCAAGTTGTACCGGTACAGTAGAAGTGGCATACTCATGTGTGTAGATAACACGTTGCTCTCTGTATGTAGATCTACATGGTTGTACACATATTAAGTGATATTACTGGTACCTGATAGTATGATTGTTCTCGCACGACGCAAGTCAGCAGTAGGGCATGAGCACAGCTTGCAACTTCGTCAAAGCAGATATTTCTATATCGGGGCTAGTTGCAATTATTTCCACGTGTATATACAGTGAGGCACAAGTACGAGGCTCGGTTACCAGGGGGATTTCGGGCTGCCTGCATGAAAAAATAAAATCAACTTCTCTCTCACACGGCATTGAAGAATTATTATTACGCCGCCTACGAAATATCTGAGGAATACTGCAGACAACGATTTTAGTGATATTTAGTTTACTGCTGTCATGTGTCTATCGTTACACTTAGTCATTGCACTCACACCGCTCAAGGCGATAGTTCGTTTGCATGGCAACGTTCAAACACTGTGCGGTCGTCACGGCCTTGCCTGGTTGTCCTTGGAGGTAGCCGGGTTGACGTGGACTCCGGGACTAGCCTCGTTACGCTTCGTTACACTTACACCGATCAAGGCAAGAGTTCGTTTGCATGGTAACGTTCAAACTGTCATGGCGCCGCCTTGGCGTTGCGTATCTGCGCCTGGTTGACCTTGAAGGTGGCCGGCCGGGTTGACCGATCAAGAGTTCGTTTCCACGACCCAAAGTTCGAACGGTCGTCACGGCGCCGCGGCGGCCCTGGCCTTGCGCACCTGCGCCTGGTTGTCTTTGAAGGTGGCCGGGTTGACGTTCACGCGCCGTGTCGGCTCGCCCGCCTCGCCCCTCGCCGTGACAACGGTGCTCTCGGTGGCCGCAGCGCCGCATGGGCCCGATACGGGCATGCGCGCGCACTCGTCGAAGCCCTGAAAGCAGCAGCGGCAGTTGTGCTGGTCCTGCGGCGCAGCGCCGTACCCGCTGTGCTGCCCACGGCAACCCGCGTTGCTGCCGATGCCTCCAGCGCCGGCGGCATGGCGACCACCACCACCGCCGCCGCCGCGGCTTACCGACTGCTCACTGCAGTAGGTCTCGCCGGGCAGGCGGCGCATGCGCGGGCCCACGCCCGGTGGGTTGTCCACCCAGTTCCAGCAGCCACAGCGCCGGCACGGCTGGTCGTACTTGGGCATAGAGCGGTGATTGGTCCACACGTGGCCACAGGTCTTGCACGTGAACTTCCCGTAGCCGATCGTGTTCTGGTGCGGCACCGCCTGGAAGCTCACTCGGCAGCGCCTGCAGCGGCTGATGCTGCGGCCAGGCGGCAAGAATCGCCACCAGAGCTCCTGGCAGTCCTGGCAACCGAACTGGAACCACTGGCGGTCCTCTCTGGCCTGCTGCTGCGCTTCAAACGCTTTCAGGTTGTCGGTGGTTAGTGGCACGCTGGTCAATGTGGGTGGCTTCGGGTGTTTGCCCGCCGCTGCGCTCTCGACGTCAGTTGCAGCCCTACTGCTTCCAGCCACGCTACCCTGATAACCACTCGTATCATCGGTGTCCGACGAACGATTTGCAGCCGCTGCAGCAGCCCCCAGCGTGGGCCGCGACGCAGCCTGCTTCTTCTTCTGCTGCTGCTGCTGGTGGTGTTTTTGCTGCTGCTTTGGGTTTGAAACGCTTTTCTGCTGTTGTTGCTTGCCACTCCCAGCGCGCGCTGTAGCGGCAGTGCTCGGCACAGTTGGAGTCGTCGACGCCGAAGCGACTGAACGCTCCGTGCCCGACGGTTTCTTGGTAGAGGACTCCGGAGCCCTGGTCACTGTTTTGCCGGACGTGTCACCAGTCGCACTGGCCGTCGTCGTCGTCGTCGCGGTCGAACTCTTCGCTGGCTCCGCCGTTGCTGCCGCTGGTGCTGCCGCCGGTGCCTCGGTGTTGGATTGGCCAGGTTTCGCAGCCGGCGCTTTGCTAGGCGCCTTACTGTCCGATTCATCAGTCTTTACCGCAGCTGGCGTCTCGCTGTCCGATTGATCGATGTTTACCGCAGCCGCCGGTTTGCTCTCGGATTCAGCAGTCTTCGCCGCCGCCGCCGCCGGCTTAGTGTCGGATTCAGCAGTTGTCCCCGCCGCCGGTTTGTCATTGGATGGTCCTGCCTTCTCCGACGCACACTCTGAGTCTGGTTCAGGTGCTTTTGCCGACGGAATTGGCTCGGCTGATGATTGCTGGGGCTGGTCCGCGTCCGGTGTGGTGCTCGATTCGCTGGTCGACTCCTCGCTGCCAGAGTTGCTGCCGGAGTTACTGCTGTCGCTACTGGCGCTACTTCCGCTGCTGTTTGCACAGGCACTGCTGCTGCTGGCGTCGCTGCTGCTGCTGATCGAGGCACTCGCAACCATTCTATTGTCGGCGGTGGACGAACCCTTGGTATCTGTATCCGCTTCCTGCGCTGCTTCCTCGGCCTTCGCCCGTTCCTCTTCAGCTCGCATTTTCGCTTGGTAGGCTGCAAATTTCTTCCTGTGGCTGCCGCGGCCCGTCTTTTTCACGCTGTCGGTCGGTCGGCTTGAGCGATCCACCTGAACCGGCTCCAAAGACTCCATTATGCCTGGCCACGAAACTGCTAATCACAACGACAAAACCACTCACACCAACGGATATGAAAATAGTGCGATATGGTATTACAACGGTGTTATCTCTGATTTTCACCAATCCGAAAGAGAGATCAATGAATGAACGAATTGAAAGTCCATGCAGGGGGAGACGCCGACAGACAACACGATCACTTTGCTGGATTCTGAAAGCCCAACAACGCGCAGCCACTCTTTTGTTATAACCAACTTCACCGGGAGGAGGTGGTTCGCTCCCAACTTGTCTGGGCAGTCTGGCCAGACAGGCGCATGCGGTGTTGGTGCATTGGGACAGACAATCAGCGGCGGTGAAAACCCTCAGCAAGGCGAAATGGGATTATCAGCGGCGAGCTCGTGTGACCATAATAATATCATGCAGCCCAAATGTACAGTGTATGATCCGGGTATTGTAGTTAGCGCTATACATTGTAGTATCACGACACGATCGATGTCAACAAAAGGTAGTGGACTCACTTGTACTAGTAGTAGTACTGTAGTACCTGTAGTAGTCCAGTATGGAAAGAGGAAAAGGCTCTCCCCCATCTAAGCTTTCAGAGCTGCCATGTACAATCCGCATGGAGGTGTAGAGCCCATGCAGAGATCAGTAAGACTGGGGTGACTGATAAGTGAACAATGCAGGCCAGCAGACAGCCTGTTCGGCAGCGTCTTTGCTGTGGGTTGAGGTGTCCGCTCAGCCGCTTGGTGGAACATGCCAGGCCAGACACCAACGACCTGCACTTGTACTCGACTCGTATTCTCAAGTCAAGTGTGTAGGCTTGGAGCAGCGCTGAGATGACAGCAGTAAAAATAATTCAACGATCACATGTCCGATCAGTGCTTGGATCAGAGTGGTTGCCTGCCATGCCTAGCGCCTGTCTTGGCTTTATCGAAGTCAGTTCGTGGACATGTCCCTCACCCGTACTCGGCTTGTATGTGAGCAGGTGGACTTGTGTTGTTGTGCATTTCACAGTATGATGTATGTGTAATGCATACAAAGGCAGTCGTGTCCCATGTAAATGTACTTGTATGCAAATGTTTTGGTCCAAAGCAGAACGGTTGGACAGCCTGGTAGTGGTAATAGGGCAGCTGATGGTACCTGTAGCTGCGGGTCATACATTATTATAACGTTCGGTTAGGTGATACAGATTGTAAAACAGTAAGTTAAGTACTGGGGCATTTTACAACGCAAACGTCCACAGCAGATGTGCACCTGTGATTATTGTTGTCATAGTGTGACAGCTGCAGGTTCGTTCGGCCTCTTCATTCGGCCTCTCAGCAGCTTGCTGTAATACACTTACCAGGAACTTAGCACAGCAGCACCTCATTTCGCCAAGACGCGCAAAACTGCTAATGAGTTTCGTCTTTTCTTTATAGTGGTCCCGGGAACCGCACTGCATGCGCCACTACAAGCTGCGTTGGGCCATGGGCTATGGGCATGGCTAGCCCTCGGCGGGTATTGCTCGAACAAATTGGCAGATTCTGCTCGAAACGCAGAGTCATACAAATAATAACCTTATGACAGGCCCTTCCTCGAATTCTGCTCCATTTCTTTATCCAAATACCAAACATGCAGGAAACATAATTAGAAAAAACCAAATTCTGCCAATGTTTCTGCCGGCATTATCGACCAAGGGCTACCACCATGCGCACAGCTGCTTTCTCAGCGGCTCCCGTTTTCAAGCTGTTATTTGACATGGTTAGCATTTTCCGTTAACGCTAAATCCAACGACACTCGTACCCAGGCCCCATAATACCGTCGGTTTGGTATCGTTTCGGCGATAGAAGGCTCAGTTTACCGAGAGAGGGAAACGGTAAGATTCCAACTACAATTGTAGGGTGAGGTCACAAGCCGAACGTTGTGTCAGAAGCCGAAAAGCGAATCATGTATTGAAAACACACGAAAAAACGGTACAGGCCGACGGTCCGAGTGAGGTTGAACGGTAACATGCTAACCATGGCTATTGTTGCTACTGTGGTATGGTGGACACCGGTAACTCTCAACTCTACTACACAGTACACGCTAACAGACAGTGCTCTTGTTGCAAGACAGCACAACTACACGTACAATCTACAAAATAGCGAGAATTCCCAGTTCGCACAGAGTGCTCAACACCTCAAGGATGGAGAAATGCCACGGCAAAAGCAGAAAAGAACAGAGACAAGTCTAGCCGGTCCAGTGTCTCTGTTCTCCTCTGCCTTTGTGTATGATGCAAGTGTATTGAAATAGGAAACGAGTCGTATGCAGTGTTGTGCTGGATGAAATCTGAGCCGAGGTGAATATCTGGCGCCCTGGACTTGTTTGGCCCTTGACGCCTTGGAAGGGGCATGCCGCGGAATGTGCTTGAGCGTGCTCAGTCACTGCTCATGCACAAAATCAATGTATTCTCGGAGAATGTATCCTGCAAAGCTCTTGCAGCACTTCCTACTCCTTTTGTTGTCACTCTATTTTGTCTTTGTTTCTTTCATTACCCCCTTGTTTTGTAGGGAAGTGCACAATCATACTTCAGTAGTATTAAAAACCAAGCGCTGGCTCCCACGTAGGGAGCAACACACAATGCCCAAGTATCGCTGAAGTCGCATCAGCCTCTTCTTCACACCGGCTTTAGCCGGGAGTAATCCAAATCCGAGGTATTGACTGAAAAAGAACGCACATGCCAGGTCAACCAGAGAGGCTGTTATAAAAAAATCAATGCACAGCGGCACAGGGGGCCGGGGCAGCTGACAATCCCCCTTTTTATCATACTGCAGTTTCAACTTTTTTTAATTATATAAGTCATGTCCACACAAATATCTTTGCAAATGAAAAAGTATGTAACATGTTCAAGTACAAAATGTATAACCAAGAGTACATAACCCCCCAGAGTGTGCAACTCCCACATACCCTGTTGTCCCGACAGAATTTCAAGTTGACGTCATTATTTATGACGCAATGCTCCTTGCAGCAGTGATTTACAACATGTGTACGGGTGTCAACGCATCACACGTTTTTCTTTGCAATAATTTGTACAGGATCGATCGGCTTCGGTCAACCACAGGTTCCGGATTCGTCTGATAATCCGTGTACAGTGCGCATTGCATCATCAAAATGACGTCAACTTGAAATTCTGTCGGGACAGCACCCATAGTGGAGTTGCACACTCTGGGGGGTTATGTACTCTTGGTATAATACGGGCCTAACTACTGTACTAACGACGTGTCGTTTCACTGTACAGAGGAAATCTGATAAGACACGGCCCCATGCCATGGTCAGCAGGAAAGTGTACGAGATACATCTGATCGCAATATACTTCAGTATGGATCAATGCACCCGTGCTTCGGACAATACGTCCTATAGTATGTCATATCAGAGAACGTGACCAGTGAGGTTTACGGTACATGGCACACGGCGCTAGCGTTGCACTTTCGTCAAATAATTGCAACTATCGCACCTAGGCAGTGGTTGGTGTATGGATGGCATTGTACTACATGTACTAGAGATGCCAGACACCTGCACATGTACAATAGTGTACATTTAGGGCTCAGAGATTGTGAGTGAGAGAGCTTGAGGCCCTCTGTCCCCAGCCTCAGAGTGACCTAGTCTCCACTTTCTCCCTCTTTCTTTCTTTCTTTCTTTCTTTCTTTCATTCTCTCTCTCTCTCTCTCGCTCTCTCGCTCTCTCTCTCTCTCAGTAGAAGGTAACTGTTACCTTCTACTTCTCTCTCTCTCTCTTCTTTTTTTCTCTCTCTCTCTCTCTCTCTCTCTCTCTCTCTCTCTCTCTCTCTCTCTCTCTCTCTCTCTCTCTCTCTCTCTCTCTCTCTCTCTCTCTCTCTCTCTCTCTCTCTCTCTCTCTCTCTCTCTCTCTCTCTCTCTCTCTCTCTCTCTCTCTCTCTCTCTCTCTCTCTCTCTCTCTCTCTCTCTCTCTCTCTCTCTCTCTCTCTCTCTCTCTCTCTCTCTCTCTCTCTCTCTCTCTCTCTCTCTCTCTCTCTCTCTCTCTCTCTCTCTCTCTCTCTCTCTCTCTCTCTCTCTCTCTCTCTCTCTCTCTCTCTCTCTCTCTCTCTCTCTCTCTCTCTCTCTCTCTCTCTCTCTCTCAGAGCGTGAACCTCTGTGAGTCTGATACCAAACTCACACTTTCTGTCGGTAGAGCCAAGGGAGATGCTCATGCCTCAACGACAAGGCTTTCTCCTAAATCCTATCATCAAATCTATATCGTGCCCTAAGGCAAAACCAGTTAGTTGTTGGATTTCTGACAGATAAGATACAGGGCAGGGCAAGTCTGGCGATATCATAGCAGGTAGTCGACGAGTCACAACATGACGAAAATCTGAACCTGATCAGGACCTGTGACGCTATACGCTGTATACGATGAATGCTGAATACAGAAGCCATACTTGTACATGGTTAAACAGGAGAAGGACAGAATGGCAAGAGTTACGATTTACTGTCCACTAACGTAAGCAGATCATAACACAGTCAGCGAGTCAGGTCGTTGAATGTCTCAGTACTCCCTGTCAGTTGTGTGCCTTTTTGTCACACTCGCTGACTTTTATCTGGTCACGTTGGTGGACAGTTAGTCATGACTCATACCATTTCGTCTTTCTCTTGTTTATCCTTGACATACATACTCGTACATGTACATGTACATGTATGTAGTGCATTGTTTTTTGTTTTTGTTTCTATTATCACATTGCACATACCTACGGAAGAAGGGGAGACAAAACGAAGACAAAACAAAAAACAACAACAATGGGTCAGTGTGGGCGCTACATGAGCTGCGCTGGTGAGATGCAGTGCCAGTGGACTCCCCCGACCAAGGGTCTCGGGATCGGCGTACACAGCAAGCACCAGGGGGGGGGGGAGAGGAATGGCGGAGAGAGAGAGAGAGAGAGAGAGAGAGAGAGAGAGAGAGAGAGAGAGAGAGAGAGAGTCGCTGACTTTTCTATTGTTCCTGCAGGGCTAGGACCAGGGAGACAATCATGACCCAGCAATGAACTAGCTTAGCTGCAAGACTAGCGTTGTATGCTGCGTTGGCCACATCATTACCTGTACTAGGCTGTAGCGTGAATCAGAGTCGCTCATGGAGTTGTGCTAAATGGACGTTGAGAGCCAGTAGGTAATATTCACAACGCTGTCACCTCCAACAACTAGTCGCATATCCGCGTGAGGGACAATACGACTTGCGACTTCCGCGGTATTAGTGAAAAAGGTTTTCAAACAGCAAGCAAACAACAACCAGAATTTGTAAATTCAAATGTTACCTGCACTGCTCCAGATAGGCGAAGGTAGGGTGGGCAGTTTCGTAAAGGGTATAAATACGTGCTGGATTTCTACAGTGTAAATTGAACGGAAAGGTCGAAGTAGCTTTAGGGTCCTCGCACCTCATCTCTCGTCGGTAGATTCACTCCTATCCTTCTAATAGCTATCCTACAAAGACATTGCAACACATTATAAAGTCCGATGGTGATCCAAGGAAGAAATTGTAACATGGAATTATGTGGGCACAAGTTATGCGATCGAGTTCACCAACTGGATCGTTGGGTTCCCTGTAAGAAGGCGATGACGCCTGTTGGGACTTCCCTAGTAAAATAAGAATAAAAAAAAAACTGAACCAGATTTTGAACAGTCAGACGTGCACAATCTAGCACAAAACTGACAAAGAGTACTGAGACATTCCACGGCATAAACGTCAGCTTGAGCACTGCTCGATAGCGCTAACCAACGGCCTTCCAACTTGGAAGGTTTATGGATATTTAATAGTGCTAATTCCAAAGAGGCGAAGGTAACTTGTGCCCACATTTTTCTATGTTAAAACATTATAATTCCATGTACTAGTGCACAGACAGAACAACAATCATGACCATTCATTTGAGGGAAACGTGCAAACTGGAAAAGTCTAAAGAAAATAATGACTGTCACCACCGTGGCAGGATTCGAACCAGGGATCTTCGACTACTGTATGGCCAGCGATCCTCTAACCACTAAGCTATGGTGTAGTCGTCATCCAAGCAGCGACCGTTCAACATGTTCTTCAGACTTCGATATGCAATTTCGTTCCGCTTGTGGCCCATGTCATTTTTGACATTTTTTTATTGATGAAAAGAACAGCAGAGTAGTGTAGACGACCATGCATGCATGGGCTGGTGACTTCAGAAGTAATAATTACTGAGTTACATGTAGTTCAGGTAGTTCCCCGTCGAGCACTAAAACCGTTAAAGCGGATCGGGCCCATGCAGTAGGCATTGGCGGATAATGCTCGAAAAAGTGGCAGACTCTGCTCGAAAAGCAGTGAAATTAGCAGAACCATACAAACCTTATGGCGGGCAATTCCTCGAATTCTGCTCCATTTCTTTATCCACATACCAAACATGCATGAAACTTACCAGAAAAAGTGCCGAATGCTGCGGATAATGCCGGTGTAACATAGTACAGCCCCCCCCCCCCCCGAATGTGTCTCCCGGGGGCCGGGGGGACAAATTCTGGGGGGGGGGGGGGGGGGGAGGGGGGACTGTACTATGTTACACCGGCATTTATATCCGCATATGCCTACCATGCAGCCACTGGCTCTGTGGCCCGTGTGGGTGCCGAACAAGCTGTTACAGTGTATGGGGGCGTTCGAATTGTCTTCATCAACTGTTCGAACAAATTAAAAAAAAAAGATTAGTTGTGTGCCAATAGAACGGTTTCTATCTTTTTAGAGTTTTTCAGTATTGCCATGGTGATCATGACGTCCAATCACATCGACCATCTCGACGTACACGACATTTACATGCAGCTATTCCAAACTCTTCGGAACTAATAAATCCGTCTCCCGTCGGATGAGGTTGTGGAACTTGTGGACTTTCAAGGAGTTTCGTTTTTCTGAAGAGGCCAAAAAATCACCTCTTCAGATAAACGAAACTCCTCGTCAAAGAGTCAAAGAGTGACAATTCGAATGCGCCCTTACGGGCCTTAGTGTTAGCATGAGATAATGAATGAACCGTGGTCACACGTCAGTTTCAGTTGGCAGACCTCACCTTTGCACCATGATTCACGGTGATATTGTCATCACTAGAATGGTAGATCTGCTCCTCGTAGATCTACCATCACCACTGCACCAGGCAAAACTTTGCAAGAAAAACGAAATGATCGAAATAGGGCGTTGAAGACGAAACGTCGTTATAACTACAAGTAGTTTGTTGCCAGTTTGTGAAGGACAAAGATCTTGGATATCTAGGCAGATCGAGAAGCATAATGAAACCCTGTTGGAGCTTGGTTCTGCTAGTGTTGGCGGCCTCTTGGCGCATCGCAAGCTCCTCCAATGTCGTTCTCGCCCCCATCGTGGCTGGCAAGCCATGCGCAGCTCTAGTTATCATTCAGGGTGCACAGGTGCCCGCAGAGCGCTACGTGCCGCTAATGGAAGCCATCCAGCGCGCATCCAGCAGCCTCTCGCTCTGGACTGGCGCTCCGGACTTTGAGCTGAACACGCCAGAGCCGCTGGTTGTTGGCAGCGGTATACACAACATTCTCGATGCCATGGCGGCGAAGGGAATGAACCAGAGCCAGTGCGCCATTTTCGTGGGCGGTCACTCGCTAGGTGGAGCACTCGTGCAAACGTGGGTCGTGGACCAAGCACAAACTCCGCAGCAGACCACTCAGGAGCTCACAAATTCCGAGGCAACCCTCGTGGCGGGAATTCCCCTCCGAGGACAGGTCTTGCTGGGAGCGTTTCTGCTGCGTAAGTGGCGCAACACGACCGGGGAGGGCTGGCAGTATCCCGTGAGTACTTTGACCGTGGGCGGTGAGCTGGACGGGCTGTCTCGCATCACACGTCTGGCGGAGTCCTACTGGCATCAGGTGCTGCACCCGTACCCGGGGGCCGGGCCGGACCGGTTCCCCCTGGTCGTCCTGCCCGGGGTCACACACTTCCAGTTTGCCAGCGGGGCGCCCCCGTACACAGTGCGCGAGCGCGACTTCAAGCCGGAAGTGACGCTGGAGGCGGCACAGGGTATGATAGCGTCGGTGGTTGCAAGCTACCTGACCTCTCATACACCGGTCGCCGCTCAGGCAAACATTGCCACCACCGCCAGGCAGCTGGAGGACATGGTGAAAGAAACAGGCGATCTCGTCGAGCCTCTCATCACGGCGCTGGAGATGGAAGGCTTCTATCACTTCAAGCAGCCGTGCTACGACAACCCCGTGTCGGCGGCGTGCACTCAGGGCAACGAGTGGAGTCAGCGCGCGCAGATGATCATGTCCGGGTTGCCGTCGACGACCCCGATCGCCGTCAAAGTCGTGGACAGCTTTCACCCGGTCTATCAGATCAATCCCATACATCTACCGCATATCACCGGGGGCAACTGTTCGTCGCCATCAGAGCCCGCGTGCCGTTTGAACATCACCACGGTAACGCAGAACATCTACACACTCATTGACGACCTGGACACGGCATTCCTTCCGGTAGCCGCGACAACGATGCGCGTCAAGATGAAGTCGCGGCAGGCGATCTTCGAGGCCGTCGGGATCACCCCGGCCGACTTCAACACGACCGACGGCGGCATGGTGTGCAAGCAGATCAATGAGGCGGCGTTCGCCTGGGCACGAGGGCACGCGGCAAACTCAACGCTGGCGCGGTACGATAAACTCGGCCAGCCAATGATATTCGGCGACGATCTGGGTCCGTACAACGCCGGCCCGCTGTGGATCTGGAATGATATGCATTACAGCAGCGAGGAGCCCGGCCCAGCGCTGCTCGTCCAGTCACCGATGATGAAGACGCCCAACAACTACTGGGAGCCGACGGCACGCGGCTTCCACTACTGCAAGCTGCTGTCGCCGGCAAGAGCGATGGAGTGGATCTACGTTGATGGACTGCGCGCTCACGACTCGCTCGCCAATCAGACAATCTTTTAACTTTCTACGTCCCAACATTGACGAGACAAGTTCCGACGATCATCTAACTTTCCAGATCCTCAAAACGAGATCTTTTAGTGAGAGTCTACCTGTAATGTTAGAGGAGAAGGCAGCCGGGACTTCCCGTGTATCTGGTGAAGTAAAATTTGAACAAACAACAACAACAAGGTCCTGGACTCGAGTCTTGGTGGGTCTGGCATTTTTTCTTTTCCGACAAAGTTTACACCCCCGACTAATCCTTTGAAATTTGAACAAGTCTCCCCTGAATCTTTTTTTTAAAGACAACAACAAACTAGACTTTATTGCGTAAGATTGCCCAACCCCTTAGCAAGTGGTACAGTGCAGTTCCTTGATGGCCTTGGTACTTGGCCGTTTGCTCCGACTGATTCTGGTATGGGCCCCGGCCAGTCACATGCAGTAGATTTTCCCACCCGGAAGAGCGTCATTCCCAACCGTTGTGAGGCTGGGACCGGCGTTCCGACTGTTTTTCAACAATCTGGTTCAGCGTATTCTTAGATGATTCACGCTCCTAGATACCCTTCGCACTGGATTGTATACAGTGATGCACATGCACACTATGATTGTACGGTCAGACCTCGCTTATCCGGTCCTCTTTTATCCGGATCCCTCGCCATCCGGAAGGAAATCGTTGGTTACCGACTTACAGCATAATTATTATGCCATGCATGCATACAGTATGTGCATTCGATTATCCCGAGTGCCGACTATCTGGATTTTTTTGTGGAAAACGGATGTGTGCGGTTATGCGAGGTCTGATTGTAGTAGTAGACGGATGTGACAAGGTCGACGTGCCCGGGCTAGCAGCCCCATTCGTTTCACTTATCGCTTGGAGGTGGCTGGCTGATGTATGTATGTGTATGTGTACTTTATTTGAATTCGCAAATCCAAACGAGCACAAATGCTCAATGACAAGGCAGCGAATATGTTATTATGTTACAGGGAAGGAGGGTTGGGGAGAAAGTAAGGAGAACAAAGAGAGAATGGTAGATATCTCAATGAAGAGCGAAGCGTTATCAAACTACAAGCAAGCCAGCGAACGATAAGTCGATAGTTCTGTAACCCGCCTAATAAACTAAGTACTTTTTTCAGGCGTGCAGTGGACTGTCATTAAAACAGAAACAGAAAAATAATAATAATAAGGCAACCATTTTGTTTGTCCAGGGGATGGCCCACGCCTGGTAAAGAGAATAAATAGAGAAAATAAAATAAATAAAAAAATAAAATAAAAAACAAACAAACAAAGTACTAACAGTTACTGCTAACGAGAGTACCGGTACTTGCTACTAACATCGGGAGGATGAAAGGCCCAACCCTGCCCTGCCAGTTACGGACTTACGGGGGTCGCCATGGCAAATAATAATGGTAAACAGTGAAAATCAATCACAGACAGGAAGCTGTCTCAGGGCAAGTTTCTAATCATAACATCAGGAAGATCGGAGGGTATACGGTACGACGGCAGCTTTGAAGCTGCTGAGAGACGACAGTACTCTGACTGCATCCGTTAGGACGTTCCAAAGGGCACTACCTCGGGAGGCAGGGCGAGATCGTCCGGCGCGGGTTCGTGTAGCTGGTAGACGGAGCCCCAGGGCGAGATCCAGGCGCGTCCTACGATCCGCGCAGCGTACGAAGAGCTCCTGGAGGGATGAACTCGCACTGGCGTGTATGCACCTCCAGACAAAGACCAGGACCTTCTGCCGATGTATTTCTCCAATCCTGAACACCTGCATGCGTTCCAGGAGATCACTGGCACGAGAGAACCCCGGCCGGCCATAAACTGCTCTTGCCCCACGGTTTTGTGCTACTTGGAGCCGGTCGGTCTGGGCCTGAGTGAGACCTGGGCTAAACGCAACGGACCCATACAGTAGATCCGGCATGATAGCTGCCTTGAAGAACAGCACACGGCTAGCAAGTGTTAGCGACTTTCGTGTCCGCCACAGAATTTTCTTATTGGCTTTCGTGATGCTCGCATCGACCTGGGGCTGCCATGACATGCGTACATCCAAGGTGATGCCAAGGTAGCGGGCACTGGTGACGCTTGGCACGGGTATGCCATCGCACTTTACCACAACGTTGGGACTCTGGCCATTGGATCCTGCAAAGACAAGGAGCTGATTCTTGGTGGCGTTGAGGATGAGACCACGGGAGGCTAGCCAGCGAGCTAGGTTAGAGACGGCTGTTGTGAGCTCAGAAGAAACGAGGTCAGCGCTGCGGCGGGTGGAAGTCAAGGCTATTATCGTCTGCAAACTGGATTGACATAGTCGGGCAGGTAACAGTCGGTACGTCTCTAGTGTATATGCTGAAGAGCAGCGGCCCCAGGACCGAACCCTGCGGAACACCGCAGGTGCATGTAACAACCCTGCCGAGTCCGGTACCAGTGCGCACTTGCTGTTGGCGACTTGACAGGTAATGTTTGAACCAAGTCAGTGCTCCTCCAGTAACGCCAATGTCAAAAAGGTCCTGGATAAGAATGCTGTGCTTGACTTTGTCGAAGGCTTTCGACATATGTACAGTATTCTGGCGGAAAAGGGATTTCCCAGTGGATCACCAGTGTAATCCAGCTAGACAAAAGCTTCAAACATCATTATCATGTTTGTGACTTTGTGGACCATAGTACCATTTCTTGTCCACAACCAGACAGCAGGCAAGTGTGTACATGTACATGGATAAGGCGACCACCTGTCATAAGAGACCACTGGAACCAGGACAAAGGGATACTATTTCCAGTCAAATGATCCTGGATAAGGAGACCACCTGGCAACAGAGACCACGTTGTGAAGGTCGCTTGAGCAGTCGTCTTAGACAGGTTTCACTGTTCGTACGATAATCGCTTGCCTGTAAATGCCTGCTCAGTGCTCACAGGGTCACCGTCTATATTTGGGAACGATGATTGCTGGGAGGCCGGGACACATGCCTTGTACATGTATGTGCTAGTGCACTGTAAAACCGCAAAGTCTAACGAGTCACAAAGTCTAACGTTTTAACGACTAATTATTTTTCGTTATTTGAAAAAAACCCCGTTATCCCTAGATGTCTGTGAAAAGATGCACATACAGATGGGTGGCCAGGTAGCCATCGTTAAACCTTCTGCACGTACTCGTAATCATGCCAAAAATTACAAAAACGTTATACTTTTTGGTCTTTAGACTTTCCGGTTCAGGCGAATAGCTACCAAGTATGTGGATCCCATCGCACTGGAAGCTTATGTGGCTTGCTGTCTAGTGCCTTTGGACAAGCAGCCAGGCGTTCGGCCTATCGTGATCGGAGAAGTCGTCCGCCGCATTCTGGGCAAAGCCATACTTCAGATTGTTGGCTCGGCAGTAGAGAGTGCTGTTGGCTGTCTGCAGTTATGCGGAGGGCAAGAGTGCGGCGTGGAAGCCGCCATTCATGCGATGAAGACCACCTTCGATGATGACCACACGGAGAGAGTCCTGTTCGCGGATGCAACGAATGCTTCAATCGCTGAAACAGAGCTGTTTGCCTGCGCAATGTTCAGCGGCTATGTACAGAGCTCGCGCCAGCTATCATCAACACATACCGCTCACCAGCTCACCTGTATGTTGGAGGAGAGGTGATCATGTCTTCTGAGAGCACCACTCAAGGAGACCCATTGGCTATGCCAATGTATGCCCTTGGCTCAGTGCCACTGATCCCGGAAACCGCCGCAGCTGGGGCCATGCAGTCCTGGTATGCCGATGACGCAACTTCAGCCGGCGCTCTCCAACGAATGCGCACCTGGTGGTCCATCCTAGTAGATCGAGGCACCAGGTATGGTTACGACATCAACCCGTCAAAAGTCCGTACTCCTCGTGAAGCCATCTTGCGCTAGCAACACACAGAATTGTTTGCCACAGCCGGGGTTAACATCCGGACGGTCGGCTATCGACATCTTGTTGCTGCCCTAGGCTCTGCCCTGTTTTGCAACGGTTACGTGTCCCAGAAGGTTGACACATGGTGCACAGAACTGCAGACCCTCGCCAAACATGCGGCGTCTCAACCTCAGGCTGCTTACGGCCCAGGCTGTCCTTACTCATGGTCTCCGCCATAAGTGGTCACTTCCTTGCGAGGACAATGCCAGCCATCGCGGACCTCCTGCCACCGCTGGAAAACTCCATCAGCCAAGTTTTCCTCCCTGCACTGACTGGTTGTCAGGCCCGGCCCGGCGAGGAAGAACTTGCCGTCCTACCGCTCCCGTGTCGTCATGGTTGATATGGGAATTCTTAAAGGGGAAGTTAAGGCAAAAATTAAAATTTCACCAGTTGTAGTCTTCGGGGTGCTGAGTCGAATGGTCTTGGTCCGAGGAAGCTGAGACGCTCCCTTCCTACTTGAATCCCAATCGAACTCGCGCACTTCCACCGAAACTGGGTGACTGCGCCCTACGAGATGGGGATTTGTATGCAAAATGTCACTAAAAGCGCCATTTCGTTCTTATAAAAGCACGGATGACGGCGATTGGCCCATATGTTGTAGTCTTTGAGGCGCTGAGTCGACTGGTTTTGGTCCGAAAAGGCTGCGATGCAGCGTTCCTCCTTTATTCCCAATAGAACATGGTTGAAGAAGCGGTCACGTGGTCCTGGGTGCCCAAATCACCTGGTCACCACGCCAGCAGGTGACAACTTTCACACCAAGGTTCAACTCGGGTTCAACTCGAGTGACAGGACTGCACCCAAAAAAGGTCAAACAGGCTAGTAAGTTGTACCCTGCAGGCACGGTGACCAGGTGACTGGTGTACGCAGGAGCACGTGACCGCTTCTTCAACCATGTTCGATTGGGAATAAAGGAGGAACGCCGCATCGCAGCCTTTTCGGACCAAAACCAGTCGACTCAGCGTCCCAAAGACTACAACATATGGGCCAATCGCCGTCATCCGTGCTTTTATAAGAACGAAATGGCGCTTTTAGTGACATTTTGCATACAAATCCCCATCTCGTAGGGCGCAGTCACCCAGTTTCGGTGGAAGTGCGCGAGTTCGATTGGGATTCAAGTAGGAAGGGAGCGTCTCAGCTTCCTCGGACCAAGACCATTCGACTCAGCACCCCGAAGACTACAACTGGTGAAATTTTAATTTTTGCCTTAACTTCCCCTTTAACCCAGGGACCCATTTCCAGCAGTACGACACGTCTACGTCTGTCACCAGACCTCTACAAGTCGAGCATTTGCCGGCGGGCCAATCACAGCAGCACCGTACCAGTCTGATAATGACTATACTAGGCAAATGCGGATAATGTAGGGGCTCCCGTAAGAAGACCATAGGTCTGTGGGAAACACCCTAGTAAAATAAATAATAAAAATTGGCAGAATTCGGTACTTTTCTGGTAAGTAAGTTTCATGCATGTTTGGTATGTGGATAAAGAAATGGAGCAGAATTCGAGGAAATTGGCCGTGAAAACAGTCTAATATGGAAAACCAAGAAATCATAACACACCGAAAATGATCCAAGAATTCGAGGAAATGCACGACCGACCGACCGCGATCGTCGACCGGTCGACCTCGGGCTACGCACTGCACTACGCACAAATCGTCAAAATTCAAATCAGCCCTCCGCGAGGCCTCCGTGTTACGTACGTAGTCTACGTGTTATACATACGTCATGCCTGGTGATGTCACGAACTGACCTCATGCTCAGCATGCGTAGCCGTAGGTTTTCTGATATGCGCCTTTCAAAAAGATTGAGTCAAGCTCTATGACTATCTCCTATCCTGGCTCTCACAGTCTCAGTGTACAACTGTTGTCACTTTTGTGAGTTTGTAGTTTTTTTGTTGTGGCAATGGCTATTGTTTGACAGCGTGACAAATTGGCTCGCGATTTCATATGCTGAGAGCTTCTAGTTCTTCTACTATCGCTAGATTTTGGCAGTGGTGAAGTTTCACGTCATTGTCGTCGGCGGATGGTTCTATTTTTTTAATTTCTTGCATTTTGCATCATCCAGGACTCACAGGAGCGAGTGTGTTGTGTGAAAGTTTTCCCGTTGGCTTGATGGGTTTCTCACTCTGGCTCATGAGATAACACTGGACCTACGATTGTACTAAAGAGTAACAGGTTTTTCGCGTTTGGGCCCGGGTGTGATAAATCCCGGCCTTGTTCTGCTACGAATCAGATCTGGAAAGTGCATCTTCTTATTGTAGTATTGACGTGCTACGTGGCATCCAGTTGTTGGATTGTCGCAAGACAGCAGTGCAGTGATGATGGCGGAGATGAGAATGAACAACTTGGGCCGTCGGTCTGTGGAGAATCACCAGCTACTAAATGACTCGTCGTCCGGCTCTGATGTTCAGGAATTTTCGTTGCCGACAAAGCGACCCAGTCAGCCGTAAGTCACACCATGTCTTATAGACTGTCTGTAGCACCCCAACTGTTTTTAGTGTACAGGTACATGTACGCAAATTCACAATAGAGACTGGAAGCTTTTGTACAAATATACACCAGGTACACGCGCGCACTTGGCCACATTGTAGTAATATACATTGCAAAAAATGAGAAAAAATGTAGATGATTGTAGAAATAATTCAATCAGTGGACAATGGTCAGTGTACATGTGCATTGTGCATGACTGTACAGTAATGGTTATTGGTATGCCATGCATCCACTGGCATGTTCCCACATGTTTACTTGGTGGCACGCCATGCATGCACACACACTGTACTGTATTGACAGCTACCCTAACGGGTCACGCCGCCCTCCACCCAAGCATGGGTATGATGAGGGACAGTGGCAACAGAAACAAAAAACAGCAAGCAGAGAGAAATAGCAAGAGAAAAACAGCGATAGTAGTACATCTGGTGTGCAACGTATAGAAAAGAGAGATGACAAGAGATACGCACAAAAAAGGAAACAATAATTATTTGAACCTGTATTATTGCAGTTCCGAAACAATCAACCAGGTGATGGAGTGTGGGCACCCGAAGTTTCACCTGGACTCTACTGGAAGAACATCCCACGCAGGGATATCAGCGACAGGCCAAGCGTAGAAAAACAGCTATGAGGACACATCGTCTAGAAGTCCACCGCGCTCGAACTGAAATTGCAGGATCAAACAATTTCCCACGCGTCGTCAGGCAGCGTAACTCTTCTCCCTGCATCACCATCCATCTCCAGCAACCGTCTCCACTCACAGCTCATGCCTCTGCCACCACTGTACTCCGAGCTTCGCAGTTTGAAACCATTCGGGGGTCAGCTACACCACCGCGAATGGAGAGAAGAGGACGACAACGGTCGTGACAGAAAAGACACTGCCCTGGCGACCGCGTCGCGGAACCCTCGCCCCAGCAAATTCAGAAACACGCCAGGGGCGACTCTGGTGGACCCAGAGCGGCGAGCCACCCCGTGGCCTAAGACCAGTAAGAGGAACGACTGAAAACTCAGATAAAACGGAGCTACAAAACACACACACATACACACACACACACACACACACAACACACACACACCTTGGACCTTGGACGCCCATCGCTAGTGCGATGACAGCGTGCGGACTGAGCAATCTGGAGAGTGATGCTTCAAGTCACCCGCCCGGCGAAATGTTCGTCCACACATGCACTGAAAACTCTTCGCTGGCTCTGGTGGAGGAGGCGAGGACGACGAGACAACTCCACTCTCCCCTGTCTTGTGCCACATCATACCAGTCACTTTCCGGGATCCCCGCCACGGCCACACACACACACCACACACACACACACACAGACACACACACACAGACACAGACACACACACACACACACACACACACACCACGCGCGTGCACACACACACAGAGCCTTGCAGTGACTCTGAATGGGGGAATTAACAGCTTGAGCACTGAAGATGACTACAGCACTGTCTTGTGCAGAAGAATGACCAGGCTAGGATTTCACCAAGCACAGCATACCCATGTATACACGGTGACTCAACTGTGCATAGACTCTGGTACATGAAAATAAGAATGGTCTAGGCTAAGAGGCTACCCCCCCCCCCCCCCCCCCCCCCCCCCAGCACCGAAGAACGACCAGGCTAGGATTTCACCAAGCATAGCATACCCCAGATGTATACACAGTAACTCAACTGTGCATAGACCACAGTACAGTCCTGATCAATGAAATCCAGTCGCGTCACTCGAGTTTGCGCCCTGGCATCATTTCGCAGCCCAGTGTTCGCAGGTCTAGGGCTGCTCAACACCCGGCGTGTACTTGAGTGACACAACTGGATTTCATTGAGCAGTCCTGTACATGAAAATCAGAACGGCGTAGGCTACCCCCCCCCCCCCCCCCCCCCCCCTGTTCTTCGGCGACCGACAGTAGTGTAAGACTGGTCGACTGGGTGAAGCAGGTCTCCGAGAAGACCTCTCTAGAAATCGCTCTGAGCGGCGCACACGTTTGCTACTCCTTTAGAGCAAGAGCAACTACTGCTACTGCGAGTACAACGCATTCTATTTCTACTGATTTTCACGTGTACCTTTTGACTATGCTCTGATGCATTCAAGTAGGGGGTTAAAATTCATCTTTTTAATACGTGCGGCCTTTCCCCACGTTCTTTTACGCGTGGCCTTTCTTTATGTTCTGCTGTGTTGCTGGCTCTTATCTCCATGCTCTTATCTCCATGCTCTTATCTCCATGCTCTTATCTCCATGCTCTTATCTCCATGCTCTTGCTCTCAGGCGGTTCAAGCGGAAACGCTCTGGCAGCATAGGCGCCAGCAATGGCAGCAGCGGTGTTGGTGGCCACCACGACTTCAAGACGGGCAAGGCGTGCCAGGGCACGGACATCCATGGATGCTGCCTTGTGCTATGCATCCTGCTGTTCATCTTCACTGTGATCACATGTGCGTGGCTGTCGTACGTCACCGTGCAGTTGCAGCGCGACGTTGATCGCTTGCACACTACAGGTGAGATCAAGAGTTACTGAGTACATACCGTGTTTTCCGGAGTACAAGCCGCATTGGAGTATAAGCCACACTGGAGTATAAGCCGCACTAGAGTATAGGCCGAACCCCCCCCCCCCCCCCCCCTCCCCATTTTGTTGCCACGAAATACAGACATCCACCCTATTTATCGCCGTTAAGTTGATCATCAGGGTATAATTATAAGCCGCACCCCTTTTTGGGGTAAATTTTGAGTGTTCAAAGTGCGGCTTATACTCCGGAAAATACGGTAACCCCCAAGAGTGTGCAACCGTCTGCACGACCTCTATCCAGTGCTGCGACGGGAGGACTTTACATTCCGGTGACATGGTTCAAGAGGTTACGCTGGCGAAGAGTGCAAAGTGACCACAAGAGAGTTGAACCCAAAGCAGGATTGCGTTCGGCCCTGCATCTATCATGCACAGGGTGCAGACAATGTGTACGAGTTCGTCACGTGATGCGACGTTCTGCGGTTGCAGACCACATAGCTGGAGTTGCACACTCTTGGGGGTTAAGCTGTGTTCCCAACTGGCGCGTGGACGCGGTACGCTTGCGGGTTCATATGTGCCCAAACGCGCGCTCAGGCTTTCACAATACTGTAAGACATTTATATATAACGAGGAAGCAAATCTAACGTTTTAACGGACGACATTTCTTCGTTATAATAAGATCCGTTGAAGCCGCACTGCTTCATATATGCTGTGTGTGGATATGGCAGAATACTGCAAGATCGTTAACATATCTTCTCGTTAACCTATGAATTTTGGACAATCGTTAAATTTGCGACTCGTTATAATAACATGTCTTACAGTAAACAGCAATTCGACTCGTATTTAGGACGTGTGACGCCTTCGGGTACTAATTTTTTGACCCCGCCAGTGAAAGTGATTGGCATGTACGCTGGTACGCGCCTGATACGCGCTGAAAATTCCAACATGTTGGAATTTCCATTTCGGCGCGTCTCCGTACGCATGGCGACCCAAAAGCCAGCAAAATACGCACTAACGCGTTGTTTCACGCGTACACGCGCCAGTTGTGAACACAGCTTTACACACTATGGGTGAGATGAAGTTTTCAATTTCTGCCCGATGATTGCTTTTGCGTGCGACTCCAGTTGCAGTTGATGCCTCGTTCTAAACCAGGCCTAATCTTCCCTTGTCAGAGTGTTCAAACTGACAAGTCAGTGAGCTCGGGGTAGCTGACTGAAAACTCTCCACTTACGGGAGAATTGTGGTAATGTTGTGTCCTTTATAAGTTGATATACAGTCAAACCTCTTTAGGACGAACATCAAGGGACCGATGATATTTGTTCGCAATAACGGGAGTTCTTCTTATCCATATGTTTTACCCAGTAAATACACAGGGTTTTATCCCATACAGTTACGAATACTAGTTCCTCTTAGGCAAACATTTGTCTTATCAGTGTTCTTCCTAACCAGATTTCACTGTACATGTATCCTGGACGCGCTCGCCTAATTCTCATGTGTGCAATGGCATTGTAGGTGGCTGACTGTTGAGGTGTCGGAGTTGTTGCCATCGGATCACACAGCCAGGATATTGAGTTTGTGTGTGTGTGTGTGTGTGTGTGTGTGTGTGTGTGTGTGTGTGTGTGTGTGTGCGTGTGGGTGGGTGTGCGCACGCGCGTGCGGGCGTGTGTGTGTGTGTGTGTGTGTGCATATTGTGTGTTTCTTGTATAGTTGATGAACATCGTGGTCTGATGAAGAAGCTGAGTGATGCAGACTCACGGATGACCACGCTGTTGAACATGTCCTTAACCAGGCTGAATGCCAGCGTAAGTGAAGCAATGTGTGTGTGCACGTGTGTTTGTACGTGTGTGTGTGCATGTGTGTGTGTGTTTGTTTGTGTGTGTGTGTGTGTCTGCACATGTGTGTGTCTGCACATGTGTGTGTCTGCACATGTGTGTGTGTGTGTGTGTTTGTGTGTGTTTATGTGTGTTTGTGTGTGCGCACATGTGTGTGTGTGTGTGTGTGTGTGTGTGTGTGTGTGTGTGTGTGTGTGTGTGTGTGTGTGTGTGTGTGTGTGTGTGTGTGTGTGCAAGCTGTTGAATGGTGTAATCCCAGCACAAGTTGCTATGTCTAACATAGCTGTTCGCTATCATCGCTTCCGCGATGGGCATGTCTGAGGTCTGAGGTGTGTGTGTGTGTGTGTGTGTGTGTGTGTGTGTGTGTGTGTGTGTGTGTGTGTGTGTGCTGCTACTGCTGCTTATTTTTACACCCTGTAGTCCCCCAAATACCGGTATGGCAAATGCCTGGCAAGAAGCGTGTGGATTGTGCCTCACACATTCATCCTTGTACTGTAGCTATTGGAACTAGTGTATGTATGATCAAGGACATGCTACGGTCACTACGGTATTCACCCTACAACTACTGTTAAGCATGTGATTTTAGGCGTGTTAAAATTTCGGTATCAGTGACCTGCCAGGTTTCAGGTGTAATTTAGAATTAGGTGACCAGCCTACCCTTCACATGCTGTGTGTATTCTAGTGGCTTTTAGGTGTAATCTAAATTTTGGTGCTGGTTTTCACTACCGAAGTCACCGAAGCTAAAGTCACACCGGAAATATCTTACAGTGTTTGTAGATGATCTACCCGGGAGAATCAATAAAAAGCACTCACAGGGCTGCCACACTTGGAGGGAGAAAAATCTGACGGGGGTCCGGGGGTGTTCGCCGGAGAATTTTTTAGGAAATGGCTTGCTGTTGGGGCCCAAGAACACATTTTTAACTGTCCACACATATGCAAGCACGGGTGCATTTTTACAGCTACATATACATGTACATGTACAACGACCGGCCAAACGCGACCTGGCAGCGCCGAATGGCCAACTGAACTAAAAAGCGCTCAAAATAAAATAATCGGTTGTCCCTCTTTGGGAACAAAATCGATACGTTTGTCCGACGGGCGATCAAAAATCGGAGCAAGTGGCAGCCCTGCACTCATCTGGGCCCTAACATTTTGAAATCGGTCAGAGGAGCCACCCCAACCTCACAAGTAACTTGTACTTCAGGTGGCTGACCGTGCCGCCCGAAAAAACCTTCCGACACCCCTGCGTGATTGTCCCTCCTTGTCGGTGCTTCACAGTCCGTGAAATAACTTTCGGACATCGGACATTTTCCGATCGTTTTTGGCCGTTGTCCGGGCGAAATATCCGTGCGGTGGACAACGTGTCCGATCAATTTGAGACGAAAAATATCATAAAAGTGACTCCCTGTACAGCTGTGCACGCACACTTGCGTTGCAATAAGAAGTGGCGAGTTTAGTTAGGGAAGAGAAAAAGTGGCCACGATGGCCCTCCTCCTGGCAAGTTGCTCCACGCTGTGCACGTGGTCGCTTGTGATAAGTGAAATGCTGAATGCTACAAGGACCTTCCGGCATCCGTTTGGTTGGAGTATGAGAGATGCAAAGGGGTGAAGTGCTTAGATGCACGGTTTGTGTGCGGTTCGCCGAGGAAATTCGCTTGTCCAAAATGTTCTCGCAGTCCTTCATCGTTGGGTCGAGAAATTTGATAATGCTGCCTTTCAAAGACATGTGTGGCAACATGGTATGTCCGGGCATGTCCGACCATTGGAAGAAGTGTCAGGATATTTGGTCAGAACGACCATGATTTCTTATCGCATGGCCTGCTTCATGATTCATTTGTGTTGAAATTCTTGTTTTTGTTTTTGTTCGTGTGTGTGTGTTTGTGTGTGTGTGTGTGTGTGTGTGTGTGTGTGTTGTGTGTTGTAGGAGATGTCTAATAGTGTACTCCGCAGACAGCTGGATTCTGTTCATAACACCACCGGTCGTGCAACACTGCTCTATACCTCTATCAAGGCGTCTCTCAAGGCGGTAAGTTGTGCTCGTGTGTGTGTGTGTGTGTGCGTGTGCGCGTGCGTACGTGCGTGTGGGTGCCGTGCGCGCGTTCGTGTGTGTGTTGGGGATTCACTGGCCACAAAAAGTCACTTCATAGCTGTGTGGTGTAGACCAGGCGGAATAGTGGCAGTCAGTTTTTCAGCCTTGCAAGATGTAGAATGGTGCAATCCCAGCACAAGTTGGTATGGCTTCTGCTGTAGCATCGCTATCATCGCCTCTGGCGATGGGCGTCAAATGGTGTGGTGTAGAAAAGGCAAACGTTAGTGGCGATCGATTCTTCAGCCTTGCAAGCCTTTGAATGGTGTAATCCCAGTGCAAGCTGCTATGCCTAACATAGCGTGTTTTCTCTATCATGGCTTCGATGGGCATGTGGAAGTGGAAGTGTGCGTGCATGCGGGGGTTGTGCTCCCACGTATGTATGTATGCATGCACGTGTGCGCTCGCACGTATACTCATGCGGGCGTGTTTTTTTTTGTGACTGTGCATATCTAACTTATTATGGATATGGTATCACGGTGAAACTCCCCAGATCCGGCCGTCCCTAATCCGGGCACGTCCGTCTTTCCGGTCACCTTTCTCACCCATCTAGTCACTAAAATAGGCTTAAATAGCTTGCAGGCAACCTGCCTACACTCCAGAGAGCAGTGCATGTCACGTGAAATGCACTGCTCTCTGGAGTGTAGACAGGTTGCCTGCAAACTATTCAAGTGCAATGAAGCTGCGTGAAGCGTCCTTCAAAATTTTAAAATAGGCTTTCTAGCAAAAAATGGTTCCAAAAACTATTGATTCGCATAAAATATGTTTACTTGCCTGCAACAAGTATGCCAGTTCTGAATTACGGGCAATTCCTAGTGGCGGGCAGGGCTTGGTCCCAACTTGCCCGGATCTGGGGAGTTTTACTGTGCGTGAATGGTGCAGTCGTGATGTTTTAAGGCCCTTCGCGCACGCCATACTGGACCGTACATGTGCGAACGACCACAACTTCCGTTTCCTTCAATATTTCTTGAAGAAATTTTCACCACGTCTTGATGGAATAACATACAGCAGATCAATAGCACTCTGAATGAAACTAAACTAAAGAAAGTTGGAACATTTGACAACAAAAGGATAATTATCGCACAACGGACAAGAGCTAAACGGTGCGGAATTTTATCAGAATGTGGCTCATCAGAATCATCTCTTTCAGCCTTAGATATTTAGATTACAGGTACACGCAGTGCGTTTGCCTAATATCACACAGTCCTAAACATCAGTGGCAGTGGTACAGCTCTCACATGCTGCACTACCGCACATGAGCAGTTACCTCACGAATGGAATGGGCAGAATATGCACGCAGGATTGAAGAAATCTCCTGCCCATAGGCAAACGCACAAGCTGACATCACACAGATTTCAAAATGTATACTTTCGCATGTCCATTCTGTACAAGTGAGCCAGGAAACTGCGCGGAGTGGCAACAAACCACTAAAAATGGCGAAAATTCAGGGTATATTTAGGGTATATTCAGGGTATGTTCAGCACTTTTCATACAGCACCATCACGATGCAGGCAGATAGCTGCACTAAAACTTGCTCGGTCCATAAGTATCTCCTTCCTCTTCAATAGTGGTCTCCTCCCAGCCCTTCTTTCGCCTTCTTCTCTTCTTTCTCTTCTCCTTCTCTTCTGCTGAACCTTTGCGATCGGCTTTGCTGATGCGGGTGAAATCCTAATCTTGGCATGCTTTGTGGGTCAGCACGCCAGGTACACAGTCTGCTTCCAGAAGCACACTCTCCACAGCCAGTGCACCATCATTGAAGTGGGCAACTGCAAGGCTGGCAGCGAACCGGACAACATCAGCGCCACAGAAGCTTTCCTTCTGGCACATATCCCAGATGCTGTTGAAGCTTTCATTCGCATTCTGCGTGGCTCCGAGGAGGCATCTCTTGAGAAGCTTGCGCTCTGTCAAGCGGAGATACAGTGGCTTGACGACGTCAAACACGGCCTTGGGGAGAGTGTGGCGATAGGTGTACTCATCCCTGACTCCAGCCTGCACCAACTGCCACTTGCACCAACTGTCAGGACCGGTGGGGCAAAACTGGTGCTCGGATTGTCGTCCGACGAACACCAGTGCATAAGGCCGCTCCAGATAGCCCGGGCCATACCTTGGATGTCTTGGCTGTGCTCTCTCACTGCCCATCCATAGAACGTCTGGAGAGTGTCAATGGCTTTGTCGGTGAGCCGGCCTTTCCCAGACAACGCCTTGCCGTCTGACAATTTCGTACCCTTCATCGTCTTCTTCAGCTCCCGCAAGCCCGTGCCGATGCGTTTCTGTACATGTCCAATGCATTCCTCAATTTCATTGGCTACACCATCGTACGGGTCAGCTTCAACGACAGAATTGAATGCCTTACTGTCGCCATCTCCAATGTACGTTGTATACCGGAGACCACGATCAGCAACAGAGCGACTCCATATGATGACAGCTGCCTCGGTCTCCATGGCTGGTGCGGATCGCGCTGTATTCACTCCACAGGTGTGGGTACCTTTCCAGGCAGTGAAATCAGCTGCACTAATTCTCTCGTTCCACATGACACATTCCTGGCAGTACTTGCTGCTCACGTGTATGTCCAGTACACGGCCTGTTCTCCACGATATACAGGCAAAGACACCGTAGAGAGGCGTATAGCCGCGCCTCATCCAGGTGCCATCGCAAGTTACCGCCACGGTGGCGCAACCATTCAGCACCTTCACCTTGTCAGCAGCATTGACCATGCTCTTATGAGCCACAGTGGCTGCAGCGATCACGAGCGCTTCCTGATGACGGGTGTACTTAGGCATGTGTGTTCACAGGGCTGGGCATGTCCATGGTTCCGCAGAACTTATTCAGAGCGGCACGGCACGTCCCTTGCCCATTCTTCGCGTGGCTAACCCTGATCGCCGGTTGATGTCAAAGAACCGCTTCTCTTTCAAGCATAGGTTAAATCTCCAACTGTGACTGCATAGTACATTGTCGCACTGCACGTGCACCACCGATGCGAGGCCAACGGCGCAGCAGTCAACAATATTTATTTTTCCAGATTTGCACTCGCTACATACAGTGGCCACGTCCAGAAGCTCCTGAAGACATTTCAGGTACACAATTCTGTTGCCGCTCCGCAAGCAATCCTCTTCTATCTCTTTTCCAGATCCCTCAGACGCCTCAGTATCGTCGTCCTCAGAACTGTTTGGGTTCGAGTTCACATCGGAGCTGTCGCTGCTGTCAAAGCTTTCATCAGCTAAATAGGCGGGCTTCCTGCTCAACTTTTGCGTGGACGCGCTCTTCTCAGTCGCTTCAACATCACTGGCGACCTCAGGAACCTCAACGACATCGTCGACTTCAGCAGCAGCTGGCTTTGGACCGAAATATTTCCTTTTCTGTCGTTTAGAACGTCCACTCGAGCTCGTTCTTCGGTTCCCCATTGTTCAAATTTCAAATTATTTGTTCTCAAGGCAGAAAGCTGTTCAGCGCTTCTCCTTGTATGCCATGGTATCCAGTAGCAGCGATTTCAAGTCAAAAACTCGCTCGTAGTACGCGGTTTCAGTGAAAATCACGGACTGCATGGAGTGCAAAATTGTACAAATTTTCGATCCGTGCGTACTCATTTTCATTTGAATTGTTGAACTTGAAACGGTCGTAACTTTGGAACCAGTAGTCCGTTTCACCAAAATTTTTGTTTCTACACCCTATAGGGTCCGCTGGGCTAGTTGGATACCGAAAACAGCCAGAATTGAAACTTTCAATTTTTGAGTATCTGAAGGGTCATTCCCCCCTTTTTAAGGACGATGTCCCTGATGTGCGTGTTTGTGTACATGTATGTGCCGCGTCTTTGTGCTGTATAGTCGTTCGGAGCTGTGAGTGCATAGTCCACCGAGAGAGTCAGTGTGCTGGAAAGCCAGTGGATTGGCGAAAAGGGGCTCAGCATGCAAAGGGTTAAGGACAATGTCCCTGATGTGTGTGTTTGTGTACATGTGTATATGCGTCTTTGTGCTGTATAGTCTTCGGCAGCTAGCGGGCAAGCTCTACAGGGTCTGGCGGACGTACAGAACGAAGTGACTCTGATGGGGTCCGACGTGAAGGCCACCAAGGCCGATGTTGACAGCCTGAAAGCTGCCGTCGGTCCGTCTCCCGACCTGAACAGTGAGTTGACCGAGGTGCTATGAATCATGTCGTTTTCAATTCTTGATGTGATCATTCATGTTTTTGAGCTGGTCTGTCTACTTTGGGTTGAATCGTTGGCTTCTGAGTTTCTGTGATTGTGCGCTGATGCACGAACTTTATTTTCTTGTTACGCTGATTCACGCGTAACGATTGCATACGCCCATTCATATATAAACTCACTTAGGTTTGAAACTCGGATGTTGAGCCATAAATAAATGTAAAAGAGAAAAGGACATATCGTATCCATATGTCCTTTTCTCTTTTACTTAGGTTTCTTGTTTCTTTGCCTGGTTTTTCATGATTTTGTGTCGTTTCGAGAGTTAGAAATTTTGCCGAATTTAGAATCACTGAGTGTACAGTTGTGCTGATGCGAAACCAAGTTTCGGCCGTCTTCTGAACCGAACCCGTCCGAAGTCGGGTTTGGAAAGGCCTGCACTCACCCCCACCGTTAGGTGCTGCATCTGCTGCTAGGGTTTTGCCTAGGGGTCAAAGGGGTGTACCGGTTACCCGGGTACCCGGCCGTTAGTCTCAGGTACCGTTAGTAAAAGGGTACCCGTTTGGATTTTGATGAACCTGTTAGTACGGAGCAACACTGCTGGGATTGTGTATTCCAGGCGGGAGTCAATTATTTACAACTCCACGCTGGATGTTTGCATTGTTGTTGCATTTTCGCACCTATTAGATCTACTCCTGTGACTATCAGACACCAATCGATTTGCGAATGACAATGTGATATCAAAATGCAACCCGAGGACAGATGAATTAAAATCTTGATTTATGTGAAAATTGCGCAAAAAATTAAACATGGCTACTAAAGTTAACCCGCCCGTTAACAAAATTACCCGTTCGTTAGTTAAAGGTACACCCGTTTGACTTCTAGTTTTGCCGGGTGTTAGCGGCCGTTGTGAGTTCCCCTTGGGAACGGACACGATAATCTACTTTACCTACACCTGAATTATTTGCGAACTTCGTGTGGTTTCCATGGTGGCCATTAATTTTGGTGTTGTGTGTGTCTGTGTGTACATAGGTATACCAGCTGAAGGTGAGCCAGGCCTGCAGCAACAAGTGCACTATCTCATGAGGAATTATACCTGGGTGCTCTCACAAGTTGCACGGGCGAAGAACAGTGTGCACGCAGCGCAGCAAGCGTTTGACACCAAGAACGCCGACCTGGTGTCTGTGCAGAGGCGCCTCGCGGTGCTTGAAGGTGATTCCGAGTCCACGATGGGGCAGGTCAAGAAACACCACTACAATATCACGCTACTGAAGGTGAGCATAAGGGTGTGTGTGTGTGTGTGTGTGTGTGTGTGTGTGTGTGTGTGTGTCTCTCTCTCTCTCTCTCTCTCTCTCTCTCTCTCTCTCCTTACTATCTCATAGTTTGGTTGTCAGGATGAAACCATTCCCAACTTCAGCATACCTCAACTCCACTGTATTCTGTCATTTAATTCTTCTTGACTTCAGGCATCATTGAGAGATCTCCACTACCTGCTGAATCTCACCAGTGTGCCAGTAGCCGTGCAGTCAGACAATAGAACAGCCACATCATCACTGCCCGCATCCCTGGTCGATCTTGGTCTCTTCGGGAACAGCTCGGTTGTCGAGGCAATCGTTGCCCTTGCCAACATGGTGATGCTTCACCATCATCATGGAAACGCCACTGTGAGTTGGATGCGATCACCGGGTCATTGTGTTTGTAGTGTGTGTGTGTGTTGGGGGGGGGGGGGGGGGGGGGGGTATAGGCTGAGGCTATTCTTGTGGCACACACACACCACACACACGCACGCGCTGGCGAAAATCTCGGCCGCCGTGGCACAGGTTTCGGCGACTGTATGGTGTTACAGGCCATTCTCCACTTTTTCTGATCACAAACACAATCGCGCGCGCGTGTGTGTGTGTGTGTATGCATCCGCGCATGCGTCTGTTCACATGTACTTGTGTGCGCGGGTATGCGTGCGTGCCCGTTTCTCACCTGTTTCTTTCTTGGGATGTTAGGAGTCGCCCATCGCTAACAACACGTCTGCCATGATTGCTAAGATGGATCAATCGATGGCGACTATGCAAACTCATGTCAACAGACTGCTGGAGACACAAGCGTCATCCACGGCGCCTTCACGTCATTCCCAGTGCTCATGCGACGCTATCACCCTGGAGGGATTGCTTGACAAGGCCAACGTGACGGCAATGGTTGCGCGTGTGGTAACACTCGCCACCTCCGCCGTGCCGTTGAACACGTCGTCGGAGCTCGGTGGCGTGATTCCTGAGCTGCTGGCGTTGATACCGGACCTGGCCAGCAGCCACTCGGCATCGTCTCTGTCGCGCCTGCTGACCAAGTACGCCCAGCTGCTGCAGCGTGCGGCTGGCTGGCTAGCGCACACGCAACCCTCCAGTACCGCTCAGCCGTCGGCCTTGGGCAAGGCTAGCACTAATACAGTTGCTGTGAGTTCCAGCCCGTCCTTGGCCAAGGCTACTACTGATATTCTTGATACACTGAGCGAGGAGACCGCCCCAAGACCAGCAGTGGGTGGTGAAACAGTGTCAGCGCCTTCTGCAGGTGCAGCTAGTCCCCCAAGCCATGACAGCTCCTCACCAGCCGCTCCCAGTGCAGTAACGAGCGTAGCATCCGAAGCCGCGGCCGTAAATACCGCCGGTGCCGACGCCATCTCCCAGTCGACGGCACCTTCAGCTCCTTCCTCTACGGATGCCGCAGTACCAGCGGAGACTCTGGACAACTCTGTGGCGGTTGCCACTGGCCCCGTGGAAACTGTGGACGAACTGGCGACGCTAAGTACCGGACCCAGTGCTCCAGCAACGACTGAGCCGGAGCCAAGTCAGACGACACCTGTTGCGAGCGGTATCGATGCTGCTACTACTACTTTAGCCGTACCGGAGGAGAGCGTCACGTTTGCGGTTACGTCCTCCGGCGCGTCTGTGTCCGCCTCGTCGTCGTCTCCCTCTGCTGCAGCTACTGCTACGGAGTCTGCGGAGCTGCCCGCGTAGGCTTCTGCTTCGGACGTATTGATTGTGGACGAGTGTCTCTCACCTTGCTGCAGTTCTTTGATTGTGGCTAGTGGTCGTGGTGCTGCTGCTGCTGCTGCACCAACATGCTCTGCTTGAGGTGTTATCTCTTTTTTTAAAGAAAATTCTGCTATGGCGGAGAAAATCCTTGGTGGCGGCATCTTGATTGCCTTGTGTTGCTTGAATGGTCAAAGAAGGCGGGCGTCATTTCAATCCTGCACCGGTTTCTCCCTGCTACGTCTGAATTCTGCTGGTGCGCCTTCTAACTTCTGAACCCGGTCGACGTCGCTATGGTTGTATCAGCTCGCTAATGGGGTTCACGGATTCGGAATGCCGCTGAGGCTGCTCTCTCGCAAGCTCGTTCTGTTATGGATGACAGAGGCCTGGCGGCCTCGTGGAGTTTGTCTTGCTCTCCGTAGCACACTATCACGTCTACTAGTCAGCATCTGTTTCTGCTGGTCATCGTGTCTAGCGGCAACAAAAAACCTGGAGGAAAAATCGGCTTCAGACGTTGATCTACGTGAGGTTGTCGGATACTTTGTGCGTCCACGCTTCCAGGTCGCATGTGTGTGTGTGTGTGTGTGTGTGTGTGTGTCGCGCGCGTGCATGCGTGCGTTGAGTGCATGACATTCTGCTGGGCGAGCACGGATGTGTTCCACAACATCACTCTTCCGTCACTCAGATTGATAATATTGACACTCACCGGAAAATCCTATAGAAATTCTGTACTAATCTGTTGCTGCTGCTATTCTTGGTGCGCAGCTGACTGTCTCTCTTCCATTCGTAACACGTGATTGTCACCATGGGCATGCAATGCTGATAAATCTGATACTTATTTTCATCTCCCTGTTTGAAGTTGCAATGCGGTCGGCCGCATGACGAAGAGTGGCTGCCGATAACCATTTTTATTCTAGACAATGACGGTCGGAGTAGACACCCGCACATATTTTACGCACAAGTGCACACACAAACACACACACGCACACACACACACACACACACACACACACACACACACACACACACACGGATACACGCACATAGCCCAGCATATTATCATCATCACCTTCATCATCATCTTTTCACACAAACACACAAACACAGCCCTAGAAGTAATTTTCTTTTCCGGTTTGGTTTTAGCGTTTGTTTACGGTGTTTGCGCCGTTTGCTTTCTTCTTCTGCGTTGCTCGCCTGACTAACGGCTACGCTCGCACTGCTGCCACTGGCCGAGTTGCCACTCTGTGCCGTAAGAACGGTGCCGAGCTGTCCATTGGCCTCAGCCATGGCAGCCCTGCTGCTTTGTATAGTTTTTTAAATGCAGGCGGCGGTGCACTGCAGCAGCACACGTTGTAACGCTGTCGCAGCAGTGTCTCGAGACTGCTGTGAAATCCACTGTGGTCAGCTCTCGAGCTGCATGCTTGTGTTGGACAGGCCATGCAGGTACACCATTCTCTGGTCATGTGCACAGCTCTCTCTCTCGCACACTTGCTCTTTCTTTAAAATTTTAAAAATCCCCGCCGCTCCGGCTTCTTTGCTTCGTTTACCTGTGCTATTTTGACCATGTTGGAACTACCTGCAAGGAATAATCACTACGCTCTCGCTTGATACCGGAGCAGCTAGTTTTTTTTATCGTCTCTGTTTTGTTGCAATGCTGGCAACCACTCTTGACCACTAGATTGCTATTTTTTATCCTCAGTTTATCCTCTCCCCCCCCCCCCCCCCCCCCCCCCCTACTGCTAGCCAGTGCCGGTGCGCGGTTTGCCTGCTGATCTCCTTGTGTGCGCGTTGCTGTCTTGATGAGATTGTCATGGCAACGCGTGCGCTCTGCTGACTTCAAATGTTGCTGATATCCGTTCGGAGTTTTCTAACATGTGCGATACCTGTGTACCCGGAAGTACTGGCATGTCGGTCTTAGTGCCAAGTTTGTATGTATTGTTCAACTTTTGCCGCGTTTTTTTGGAGAAAAGCTGAAGCTGGTCGAGGGGACTGCTCTGGTACTATACGGCAACCCCGTGTCTGAGAGGACCATAGTACAAGCCTACGACGTACGGTTTTGAATGAAGAGCTGGCAAGCAAAAGTTAGCAAAAGTTGAAGCTGCAAAACACATGCTAAGCGCCAACATAGACTAACATTGAGATTCAGGTACGAACTGGAAGCAATCAGTGAGCGTATTCTGATTTGGGGTCATACTGAAAGTTGACAAAAATGGATTTTAGTGGGTATTACGTACGTACCACGTGCAAGGGTATGTTCGATTGGTAGGATCCGGATCCAGATCTCAGATCCGTCGGATCCTTCAGAGTCAACTGAACACTTTATTTTGGACCTTGACTGTTGCCATGTTGACGAAGTAATAAAATACCGCTCGCAGGTCGCGGAAGTCGTACTCATCGCGCATGCGCTCGCATCGTACGAAAAGTCGACAATTTTAAAAGGGAATCTCGATCCACTCCACGTGTGTGCATACCACAATGTGTACAAAAATGATTTTTACCCGCCATATACGCACAAAGGTCACATTTGGATCCGTTGGATCCGGTCAACCCTGCCCCCCCCCGAGGTGGGTTGACCGGATCCGGATTCGACCAATCGAAAAGGTGCGAATCCGGTTGATCTGGATCCCGATCCTACCAATCGAACATGCCCCAAGTCTTGAAAATTTAATGTTTGTTCTTCTTCTTGACTGTAGTCAAATCACCCTAGAATACTGGGGATAATGCTTTGCCGTTCTGTAAGAAGTCGGCATTGCCTGTCTTCACCCTCCGAAGCTGTTGATGATAGATGGTGTGTGTGTGTGTGTGTGTGTGTGTGTTTGGAGAGAGAGAGAGAGAGAGAGGAGAGAGAGAGAGAGAGAGAGAGAGAGAGAGAGAGGAGAGAGAGAGAGAGAGAGAGAGAGAGAGAGAGAGAGAGAGAGAGAGAGAGAGAGAGAGAGAGAGAGAGAGAGAGAGAGAGAGAGAGAGAGAGAGAGAGAGAGAGAGAGAGAGAGAGAGAGAGAGAGAGAGAGAGAGAGAGAGAGAGAGAGAGAGAGAGAGAGAGACAGACCGAGAGAAACAGAGATGGAGACAGAGAGATGTAGACAGTTCTACATTAAAAAAATTAATAAGAACGTCGCAGGCTATGACTTTGAACCCGGCTCCCAGTTCTTCAGCACCTGGCAGTTAGTATACATGACCCTAATGCTGCTCCCCCCTCCACCGCAGCACAAAAGGCAGCACACGGACCAATAGTACAAAGGTTAAGATGCACGTTAATTCTGACGTGACGCGCAATTTCACGTCAAATTTGGAGTAAAACTCCAAATTTGGACGTGAGCTGCAAGTCACTCGCGTTGTTTTCAAAATAACGCGAGCTGAACTTTCGCGTTACGTCGGAAACAACGTGCATCTTTTAAAACCTCTTTAATAATAATTCATTATAGATTGCGTTCACTGTGGCGTGGGCAGTGTTGCGAATAGGACTGGTGAGTGCTTGACAAGTTGAAGTGAACGGGAGCAAGTTTACTAGGAAGTAGGAGAGCTAAACGACTCTATACCTACCGCGTCTTTTCCAGCATCCACTACACTATGGTATAGCTTCGGCTGTGGTCAAGGTGTGTCTCAAGGTGTGCTCAGAGTGTGCTCAGGGTGTGCTCAGAGCCTGCAGCAAAATGAGCAGCCTCGCAAACAGTCGAGAATACGCGGCAGTAACAATACAGTCATAATAATTATTATAGTAAACCGTCTGCACGTCTGGGGCATGATTTGTAGGCATGTGTGATAGCTCTACTGTGGCGGAATCTTTAACTTTACACCATTATGTGTGTGTATGTGTGTGTGTGTGTGCGTGCGTGTGTGTGTGCGTGCGTGTGTGTGTGCGTGCGTGCGTGTGTGTGCGTGCGTGCGTGTGTGTGTGTGTGTTCAATAGTGCGTGTGTGTGTGTGTGTGTGTGTGTGTGTGTGTGTGTGTGTGTGTGTGTGTGTGTGTGTGTGTTCAATGACTGTATAACTTAGTGCGGGCTCAAGGCTAGGTCGTGGTCAAGAGTTTGCACATAGAACGATGTCATAGGAAATAAACTGTGTCACCTCACGTGTATACTCTGGGGCTGGGAGGGGGTGACTTTTGTAAGGGCTATGCCTTGATCAGTACAGAGACTACAGACTAATACTGTGTGAGTACTGTATTGTTCTCGATCTTGATCTTGTCTATCTAGCGGTCTCTCGTCATCCTTGGGGGATGATTAGGTGTGTCAATGATCGTTCGTGAGGCTTGATGCCGATGGCGTAATCCATGATTGCAATACAATGTGCCATGGGGGCTTTGATGCTGATGACGTAATTGATGACGTAATTGATGACGTAATTGTAGTCCAGTGTGGTGTGTGTGTGGGG